AAAAGATAGGGCAGAATGAGTACAAGTACAAGTATCCTTCCTATAACAAAGTAGACCAAATTACTTACTCTCAGATGCTTCCAAATTCTTAGTCGTTTTTTTAATGCAACAGCTGTGCGAAACCGTTTTGTAAGTGTTTAGAAACCCGTAGCAAAAATGTGGAAAACTTATTGAAAAGGTTTTCTAATATTGCGTAAGAAATTTCATTTTTAAATTATAGGGAAATTGTTTCGACCAAAAATACCTTTGTCATGTTGTCATATTTTAAGAGGGTTCTCGTATTGCCGACTGTATTGGTATAGAAAGGCTACCTGTATTAAATTTTTAACCCGCACAATTCCAACTTACGTGCTTTTAAATTAATACATTGATCAATAATTTACGTTTGAATTTATGCTAAATTCTACTTTGCTTGTGAACATAGAGTAAAAAAACAAATTTCCCCGAAAAACGCTCTCTGACGGCCCAAAGAGGTCATCTCAAAAAAAATTGTATTTTTCCGAAGCTCCAGGCTGAGGCCTAGTCGCCGAAGATCTCTACCGGTGCTCTCCCACTTATTTTACACTGTTACATACTATCTTCCCGTTCATATTTCCCCTGTATTCGGTTTATTCAGACCAGATCGAGCCAATCTTTTGACAAAGCATTCTTAGCACTCCGACAGCCTTAAATAGAAGAAGGAAATAGACTATTATTGCTCGCGTTACATTATTTTTACTTGCCTGAGTGGCCGAGTAGGCAAAGGGTCTCGACTAACAACTTAAGTGCGGTTCAAAACTCAAGTGCGGTAGAGTTTTGAATAAAGCCAATAGCCTTATATGCATGCTAGTGCTTTAAGAATTTAGTTTTGGAATTTATTTATCTGGCTAAATTAATAATAATAGTAATTTTTTGGCTTGATCGGTGTTACCGACCTGTGGGGTGATTACATATAGAAAATTTAGCTTTTGCTGTTGTATTCAGCTGTGTGGTAAAGATGGCTAACTATAAAAGTGAAAATTAACTTTCATCTGGATGGTTGTGTGAATATCGTGTGGCCTGTCAAGTGGCAATCCAGTTCCACTGCGATACGTGCGATAACTTAATTAAAATATATAAAAACTTAAATGATCTGTTCAATACAACGATGTTTTTCTCAAGAAACTACTTTGTATAACTCATTTTACCCATATATAATTTCTTCAAGTGCTATCATTATAAATATACGTAGCATTATTAGTTTGAATGTATGTGTTAATAATTGCAACCCTCCGCTAATTGTTGACGTCAAACATTGGATCGTACATTTACATCTTATCGCATATAACTGCAGTTACATTTGCACATGTGAGCCACACCCGACAATGGCTTACCCCAAAAATACTGAACATTAAAAAATAAAAATGCTTTAATTTCCCTAATGACTTCATCATTGGTGCCAAATTTCTTCCCCTGGAGAATACGAAGAAGATACGATTAGCGTAGCAGCGATTGCCTTTGTAACAATCGATTCGATTTGGTGGGAGTGCACCCACGTGGAGAACAGTTCTCCCAGGTTTTCATACAAAATAATGGTCCCGCTGCTCCTTGTCGTCTCTAGAATGTTAGCCATCTCTTGCAGCAACAATTTTCACCCAACAATAATTCCCACGCTTTTTTTGCACTTAACCTTTTTTGGCGTCCACTGCAATCAGTTCGTGCGATCTCACTTAAAATCAGAGAAGTCGCCATAACCAAAAAAGTCATACATTATAATATTATTATAATCATTAACGTTTTTGTCATAACGCAAGCCAAACTTGAATTTAAAAGGGGATTTTTTTTTTAAATAAATACCACTATTAATCAGCACTATTTAATCAGCAAACTAGATTTGAATTTTTCCATTGTTTTATAATTAACAAAAGTCAAGTAACTAAAACCGTTATAATTCGTAACCAGACAATCGAAATGATGTGGCATTCTGACGAGCACTATTTGACGATTTGTACATTCTGAAAATAATTGGGATTTTTGTAAGGCATGACACCCATCAAAAGGCGTTATTAATCCCCCCTCTTATGTAAAAATATAAATTGACGAATTGAGCTCTGCTCGTCTCTATAGTCAAATATCATTCGCAAGATAGCAGCGGGAGTGAAACAAATTCGACCAAACTAAATAAAAATGTTTTTCAATTTATTATTATTTAATTCAATAGTTAAACACAACTGTTTAGTGTGAATATTCTAAGAAATTTTAAGTAGATTTCATTTCATTTACATATTATCCCAATAAAAATATTTAAAATCCCATCTGTGTGCATAAAAATTTGTAGATTTTATTATCAACTTTTTAAACACGTTTGTCCCTCTATCCGTTGAGTTAATTGCTTTCCTGTCGCCCTCATCTATATTATTTTGTAATATGCTCAAGCACAAATCCTTAATTACCTTATAAAAGAATTTATATGATTTGCATCGCTGCTACACTATCTATTTCCTTAATTCGTTACAATGGAAAACTTTTCGCTTGATTTAAGGCACGTTTCTATTTTCACAAAAGAATAGTTTCTTTACAAAGCGTATTCTAAAGGTCCAGCACATTATTGTTTGCTTGAAAATAAATGAATGCATAGATAAACACCTCTCTATATACAAAATTATGTATTGACAATGTAGACAATTCCGAACGAATTACAATTATAAGCTTCCGCGCTAATGTTCTTTAAAAAATTGAATTATTATGAGTAATTTTTTAATAAGTTATTTATTGTGTAAAGATTTTCCATTTGATAGAATACTCATTTTCAGTACAAACATATAAAGTTCATTTTATGATTATTGTTTACGAGTCTAACAATGGATGCCATACCGAAAATTAATCGGTTGCGGAAGTTGTATTTAACATATAAACTTTTTTTTGAAAACTCATTAACGTCTACCAAAGTCAAACACATATATATGAATGAAAAATAGAAATAAAATGTAATCCACAACCATAAAGTTGATTTAGCCAAACACATCTATGCTACTAATAGAAATCTTACTAGCCTTCGTGAATTGCAATTATTTATAAACGTCTTATCCAGGTATATTTCGTTTGTGTGGATATATGTAACACTCCGAAGAACTTGGGATAGACCCACCTTTTATTACACCGATTGACTCAGAATCACTATCTGGGTCGATCTAACCTTGCCTATCTCTCTGTCAATTTGCAGGACGCTATTTTCGCACAGCGACGTGCACGTAGGCCCAAGCGTCCATCCTATTGGAAATGACTCCTATTCCTATACGGATCTATTCTTCGACATCTTCCCCTATTATGCCTTATTTTAAAAAACCGTTTTAGGAAAAGTAAATGCAATTTTCGAAATTTCTGAACAAAAACTTCTGAGTAAATTAATGTGAACAACTTGCATCAAATGGAGCAAATTTTTTGAATCCTCTCCATTTTTACGAAAACTAAAGCTTTATAAGCCGAAAATGTTTAATTTTCAATATTTCATAGTGAAAATTGGTCCATAATAGTATTTCGACATAGAACTTAATTTTCCGAATTTGGACCATGCATGTCCATTTTTAAAGTCCCACACCATATGCGGGGTATTCAAGAAAAATAAGTCATTATAAGGCAAATATCTTCAAGTTTTAATATTTTATGATGAAACTTGGTTCGTAAGAGCAATCTGATATAAAACTTAACAGCGTCAAATATGAATCAAGTAGGCCTATAGTTTGGACATAGCCGCATATAAGTATTATTATGAAAACTAAACTGCAAAATGCCAAAAAAGTCTAATTTTTAACATCCTATGACGAAATATAATAATAATAGTAATTTGATATAATTGAACCAAATTTGAACTGTATGGATCTACTTTGTGGACCCCATTCCTTGTAACGATTCTCTTGAGCCCTATGGCGAAACGGTTCAATTTTTAACATTCGATAATATGATGAATATTGGTCCATATTATCAAATGGGCATAAAACTTAACCGTAGATTATTGGCATTACCTAAGCCTATTTTCTACACTCCACCAATTGTGCGGGTTCTCAAGAAAAACAAGCGACTAATTTATCTAATTATCTTTTCTCCACGATGAAACTAGTTAAAAAGTAATAAAATCTTTAAGAAGTAAAATAAAGTTACTAAATTTAAATCGCATCAGTTGACGTATACTTTTTTTCGTATTCTCACAAAAATAAATGAATAACAGCGACGTTACTTAGGGTATTTAATGGTCGACTAATCTGTACATTTTGGCAGTTGCGGGTTGAGAATGGTTTCTTAAACAGTTTTAAACAGTCTTAAACACTTCTAAGCATTTTGAAAAAATAGCGAAATTCAGAAAGCACATCCCCAACCAAACCAAAGCAAAAATATAAAGAATGAAATCTGAAAAGTCGACTTTTAAATTAAGACGACAGCGCTTTTTTGACCTCGAAAAATCTAGCCTGACTTCTCACATATAGATTTCAATGCGTATGATTTATAATTTAAACAAAGTCGACCAACAATTTCGTAAAAAATTGTCCCTTATTTCTAGAATAATCAATAAATCAATAATATCTAAGGGCCTTTGTTGCATCTATCAAAAAGAAATCGAATAATTTCGAATATTTAAGATTCCATAGACTGTATTTGTTTAACAAATTAGTTTTATTATAAATATCAAATAATATCAAAATATAAAAAAACAATGTATTACAATTCGTTTTTTTAATAATAATATTGCGGCGGTGAAAAGCACGCTCCACGTTGGATCCTTCAAAGCCACTACCTTTCAGGTATTTGTCATATATATTTCCAGGCGGGCACATGCATATAAAGACTTATTTATTTATTTGAAAATAGACTCTTCTCGAAATCTTAATATTAATTATTTAATTATTTATATTTATTTTGTTTCAGCTTCAGTAATAGTCTGAAGATTGTGGGCACGCCGAACTTATCAGAATTACTGAACAATTTCTAAATCTTGATGATCTCGCGTGACTGGCAGTACCTGTTAAATTCTTCGCTTGAGCAGCAATAGTCTATTTGCTTTTAATAGATCTAAGAAGTAATCGTGACTTGAGAAGAGGTAGTTGCGAGCAGTGTCATATTACCACTGACATCCGCTAGTTTCTTTGAAGGGTCTTTTCCAAAGCTAATCGCTTTCATATTAGCAAGCATGCTTAACACTATTTTCCTTAGTATATCGACAAAAAAAGATGATAGACACTATTTAAAATGATAAATTTTATTATTAATAAACATTAAGTATTGTAAATCTTAGCAATTATTTCCATTCGCTATCCGACTCGTATTCAGGCCAAGGTAGCTTTTCATTAATTGGTAAATTTTTCTTTAACAAATATTTATTAAACTGTTCAGGTATACTCATAAATTGTTTTATTTTACTGCGAAATTGCTTCCAGGTCCATTGATAATGATTACGACGATCCACAACCATGGCTTTATAATTCAATTGATATTTATCCAGAAAATAAATTAAATGCTGAACTACTCCTTTTGGTAATCTAAGCAAGATATATAAAGAGAAAAAACAAACGAAAAAGAATAACATTGTCCGCAGGTGGTAATCATCTGTGGAATATGAAAAACAACTCTCGTATGACTTAACCTAAGTGATCATTATACAGGTCATCACTAAGATTTAAAGTGACTTTTAAGTTTATTTCAATTTTGTTAAAAAAAGCAGTGTAAGAATATAGTGTCTGGCTGGAGAACATTTTGATTACATATTTTGATAACAGGCAGACAATTCAAGTACACGTAGAACTGCGAGATTGTCAGAGTCTTTTTTACATTATTAGGAGATATACAGAATAAAGAAAGGAAAAAATTGTCCTTTTGTAAACAAAGACAACCAAAGACATGGTTGATTATGTTGGGAAATCGTCTTTCGCCATTCCAAGCAATCTCCTGGGGCGTCCCAATATTCGACCCCAAAGCGACGAACATTATAGCCATCGTATTTTGTTTTTTCCGCTATGTTGAAGAGAACACGGCGCGATCGGGATACCGGAAACTATTAAAGTGCGACTTTTTGCCAATACCGAAATTGATGTCAAACAACTACAACTATCAGGCTAATAAAACTCGTTCTCATTACCATCTCTATAACCAATTTGTTTAATTCCTAGAGTATACCCCTTTAAGTATGTAGCATATAATAATTTCTTGTGAAGAAATATAAAGGCAACTTGTTAAGTCATGTTTGTTGTTTCGGAAAAAGTTCATACACATATATCCGATTTTAATATGAAATGAAAACCACGTACCTTAATTTAGAATCAGCTTTCTCTTTTGCCAACTCTTCCAGTTGCCCTACTACTTCTCCCCGTTTCGGTTTCAACGGTTGTAACTCTTCCTCAGTCATTTCCTCCTCCACAAAACCATTAATAAATTTTGTTAATTTGAGCCGTTCTGCTCTGTAGTTGGGAATAGGTATCGTTTTATTGGGATTTACAGATAAACCCATTTCTCTAAAATTTGTCCGGGGCTTCTTACGATCCTCCCACAACGTTTTTAAAAAGGGACTAGAAAGAACGAATTATTACATGCATGCCATCAGCTTTTCTATAATAGCAAAATGTACTCTTTAATTTTTCCTGTAGATTTATGCTTTCGATTTAAGGCCTTCCTGTTGACATTATAACGATAACGTTTACGGCGATGAACTTTGCGTATTTTCATTTTTTTATGTTGAAAAAAATAAACAAAATGCGAAACACACCAAACCTCTTCACACGTGTGTGACAATCTACCCGGCAGCTGAAGAGTTACTTCTATTGTGAATGATTGATAATTATGAATACACTGTAGTTTACTGCTTTATTTCCTTTATGCTCTGGTATTTTGACTGTATTTTCATTTGTTTATGCATTAAAAACAAACCACTTGCAAAGACTTGTTTAAAAATTAAAAATAAAAAATGCGCGATATTGAGATTTTGGATCCTCGCAATTTAGTTAAAAATCGTGAAATCCTTTATCGGCTCATGATAAGGTTAATCCTCCTGTCGTTACTGTTACGTCGCAAGCAATATAAATTTCTTTAATATTTTATAGTCAATTAATGTACGATGGCTTGGAAAAGTTTGCAATTGAATTGTCCATGTTAGTTAAAGCTGATGAATGCACTCCGAGTGAACGTTTGTTGCACGTTATGATTGCTGGTATGCAAGCTTTATGTGAAAAGGAACCTACGTCTAAAGATGAAGTTTTGCCAGGCATTGATCTAGAATTTGAACCTGATGCTTCCACATTGGCGCCAGAGCCGGCTTCCTACGAGACGGCTTATGTTACTTCGCACAAGCAATCTTGTCGTGCTGGAGCCTTCAGCCATGATGGTAATGTTAGATTTTTGCAAAACATTAAAGATTACACATCACTATTTTTATAGGAACTTTGGTGGCAACCGGCAGTGTGGATGCAAGCATAAAAATACTCGATGTTGAACGTATGCTCGCTAAATCTGCACCCGAAGAAATGGAATCGGGACGAGAACAACAGGGACATCCGGTTATACGCACACTGTACGATCACACTGATGAGGTAGCATATTTAGAGTTTCATCCTAAAGATCATATTTTAGCGTCCGGTTCTCGTGATGGCACTGTCAAATTATTTGACATTGCCAAGCCATCCGTTAAGAAAGCTCATAAGGTTCTAACTGATTGTCAACCAGTTACTTGCTTATCTTTTCATCCTACGGGAGATTATGTAGCCATTGGCACCGAACATTCAGTATTAAGAATTTATGACGTGCACACAGCTCAGTGCTTTGTTAGTGCTATACCAGCCCAACATCATAAGGGCTGTATTACCTGTGTGAAATATGCGCCAACTGCTAAATTGTATGCGACTGGGAGTTTAGATGGTTCTATAAAAATCTGGGACGGAGTGAGCGGTCGTTGTATTAACACCATAACTGATGCGCATGGAGGCGCCGAAATATGCTCGCTTCAGTTTACACGCAATGGAAAGGTTTGTTTAAAAAACTTTTTACCTATTTATATAAACACATATATTTCTCTTTAGTATTTACTTTCATCTGGCAAAGATTCTTTAGTTTACCTTTGGGAACTTTGCACAAGTCGTCCCGTACAGACATATACTGGAGCCGGTACTACGGGTAAACAAGAACATAATACGCAAGCTGTTTTTAATCACACTGAAGACTACGTTTTATTTCCTGACGAAGCCACCACTTCCTTATGTTCTTGGAATTCTCGTAACAGCTGCCGCCTAAATTTGATGTCTTTGGGCCACAATGGTCCAATTCGCTTTATCACACATTCGCCAAATTCGCCGGCTTTCCTCACATGTTCAGACGATTTTCGCGCACGTTTTTGGTATCGTCGTTCTAATAGTCAATAAAAATGTACAGTTCAATGATTTATAATTATTTTTAAATAAAGATTTAAAGAAAAATCGAAAATCTTACCAAAAAAAAGAAGCCGAACGCAGGTACAGATCGAAAATTATATTTTATGAATAATTTAGAATAAACTCTTTTATAAGAAGCTTACAATAGTTCCTTGTGCGATCCCTAATATATTGCTGAATGACCTTTGCCATCTAAACAACAAAACTGTAAATGTGATGAACAGAAAAGATCATTCAGATGTAAAGTCAGGATATTAAAAGTTGTCCAAAGAGTACCGCGTGTTAACAGCAAACCAGAAAAGTGCCATGTTCCACGTTAGCATATTTATAGTGATCGAATTTTTTTTGTAGAGGACATACCCACTCAGCTTGAAGAAAACTGCCATTAATAAAATCAAGAAACATACAGAGTGTTAAGAAACTGATCATTCAGGTAGAAATAATTCGGATGCATTTGGAGTTTTACAAGTTTTAAACATAATTTCCTAAATTAGATACTGATCTATTCGGCTACACCAAGTGACTGTTCATTTAATAACTTAAAAACAAGTTATTCGAACTATGAATCACTAACTTTAGAATTGCTTCAAGTAAGCTCTTCTCAGTTGAAAAGTTAACTAGGCTCACCTATGTTAAGACCAAGTTAGCAATCGAAGTTTAGTTAAACCGGGACATATTGAAGTGAAGCGTGACAAGCATCAAGGTCAGGATTGAATTAAGGTGGCAGAACTAAGTTAGTATAAGCCGTATGTCTTTATTAAGTAAATTGACTGAAATGACTTTTCGTTTTGGTTCGTAATCGTAGCCAAAACTTTCGTGGTGCTTGATAACTGTACCAAAAGTTCGTTTTTTATTCTTAGTGACTTTTTAACTCTTTCAATTTTCAATTGATTAATTTCAATCTTATTCTGTAGGGTCTTTTTTTGGATGAATATGACCGCCTGTCCGGCTGTCCATCTGTTTGTTTGCGTTGTGTATTATATGTGGTAAGCATTCTCCCGTTAGCGAAAATGAAAATATCGCCTACAAAATTGCAAAAGAATTTGAAATTGACCTAAACTTTTCAAAGGACATGCCTACAACGCTTACACGCTCCTACGACAACAACTTTTATTTCGAAAATAGAAGAAATTAACTGCGCCGACTCTAAATTGCAGAGCACGAGAATTTTCTTCTTTTCTTTCTTTTGTCTTATTTGGGGGTAAACTGTGATGGGTATAAAAAGTTCGGTCTCGATGGAATTTAATTTTCTTTCTTTTTGCTTTCTAAATATAATACATGCTTGCAAAAAATTTGATAGTGTTCTCTCTTGAAAAAGGCATTTCTACAACATTTCACAATACCACCGGTGATATCATGTCGAAAGAGTTTGTATTGGTTTCGCACCGATACATCCACCGATCCATTTTCGCACATATTCAACTTTGCCGGCCCGTGCGCCAGCCAAGCCTTGCTGCAGTGACATGAGCAAGTGGTAATCCGGAAGTGCGACGTCTGATTAGTACGTACGGTGTAGCAGAACTTTCCATTCGAGATGCAACGTATTCTGGACTACTCTTGCACCAAGTGACCAAAAAATGACAATTACAATTAATTCGTGTCGCCATTTTGAAACTGTTGAAACCAAAACTGACAATTGGGATGCGATAAAACAGCATCATCATAAGCCTATGAACGTGTTTGGTGGGTTTCTGCAGCAGATTTCTTCAAATAAACAACAAAAGTAATGCATTTGCAAAACGAAGGATTTTGAGCGCTTCACGATTAGCGTCGACGTATGCTAAATAAATCAATAATATTAAATGGAAAACTGTTATTTTATATAGAGAAAGGTCAAGAACTAGAGAGCTTTTGTTTTATCTAAAGGAAGGTCAACACCGTCGAACTCAACTGTTATGTACATTGGTATTCACCATTTTTTCTTTATAGTTTTTACCTATAGAAATCGCCTATCAAAATTTTTGACATGTTTTATCCAGTGTTTTACATCACACAGGTGTTATTCTACATGGCGCCTGTTTATATTATATAATCACACAAAAAAAAGGTAAATAAATAAAATATTAAAAAATAGTCCTTAATCCTAGCAATTTTAATTATACCGGAGCGGTATCATGGGATCCCCAAAGGGTGAACATAGACGTGCCGAAACCCTCACCGTGTCGTGGTGCTCCCTATAAACATTGACTGTTACTTTTAAGGCTTTCGCTCTTGAGAGGAGTATAGTCAATGGCAGAAAAGAGTTTAAGGCTTGCTATCTATAATTCGGTGACGGGTTTTTATCTTGGAAACTTTAAGAGGTGCTTTGGAAGAGGGTTCTCTTTTGTATTGAAAAGGGAGCATTTTCCTTCCCCCTTTTGGTTCTCTTTTATGGAGCTCATCAAACCGCAAGAGAGCGATATTTAAGAGGGCTAGGGCTTAGCCGGATGTGTGGTGTGCCATGGAAACTTTGGAAGCATTATTTCCTCGAGAAAGGATAGTGCTTGGAGGGCCTATTGGGACATGTAGAGGGTTGAAGGCAAGAGTGGTTATGGCCGCGGACAGTAAGAGATCACCCAAATGGTAATAGCTGTAGGGTGGTGAAGGCTACTTAGGCTTTTACTTGGCTAATAGTGTTTTTACTTGTTGTTTAAATTTACGAATTCACGAATATTCTTATTATTCATATATATATATGGATCTTCTTAGTCCCGCATTTGCTGAAGAGTCAAAAAAAGGTTGGTAGTAAAGTTTTTTCAATGTTTGTTAAAATTTTCATAGACATATGTTCAACTTATATATTTTAAGAGTTTATTGCGAAATCTAAAATAAACATAAAACAATTGTTATATAAATTATTAAATAGATTTTCTAAAATTATAAAAGTATCTTTTGCTTTACGAGTTTTTATTTCATTTTCTTGACAAAAAGTAAAACGGTGCATTCATTCACTCATTGATATTGATATGCAAGCAAGTGCGAACGTAACGATAGAAAATTGCAAAGTTTGCATATGTATTTGTTATATGCATACATATGCATACATATATATTTATATACATATACATATATATGTGTATATATATATATATATAACAGACAATTATGGGGAGCAATGTAATGCGCTTTTCCAGCGCATGTGCATCTTGACTATTGTGAAAATCGGCCTTTCCGTTTCGAGAGCTCGAGGTAAGTGGCAGATATTTTGTGGCATCTAAGAAAATATCAAAAATTTTCATTAAGAAATTGCAAGCATCTAATTAAAAACTTTATCAATTATTTTTAATTAATTAAATGGTAAGCGTTTATTAAAAATATTTTTCAAATATCAAAATTAAGTGCACTAATGTGAATTCAGTTTATTCAGTTTCGTTCAATATATGTTCATACATAGATGTATAAGTGTGTATACGCGTGAATATATAATACATACTCTCTTAAGGGCCGGCCGGTGTTATAAGAATTTCTTCTTTTTTTTTTTTTGTTTTAATTTTTTCAAAAATTTAATACTTGTTTTCCATAAGCCATAATGCTTGTGAAGTGTTTAAAAACTTTTTTCAAGTTTAGAGCATAAAATTAAAAGCAAAAGTCTTTTGCTAAAGAAAAGCAAAAAAAAAAAAAAAAAAAAGTTTCGTAATTGAATATGGCGTTACATGTGTGACATGTGTGTAAAAATTGTGACAATTTTGTTAATCACTACAGGAGAAGCGTTTTATGCTAATTTGGTTGTCTCAGATGTGCACACACAGATATATTTAAAAAAATAATTCTTGAATTAGTTTCTCTGTATGTCTGTCTGCCTGTGTATCTAAAAAGTGTAACTGCATCGAAAAAATTTCGATGTTTCTAATTAGCATTATTCTTTCCAAGAATTTGTTAAATATATTTGCTATAATTCTAAAAATGATTCCAATCAGTCCGCTGGTACTAGAAAATTTCCCCAAATTTCCACAAAGTGAAGTAAATTGTTCGGTTTTGCTTTTGGTTTCTGAACTTTGGTGAAGAGAGTGACAAATAATTATCCCTTGATCCGATCTGAGAATATCTGAAGCGAATCAACCACACCCGCTCTCACAGTCACGAGAATTAAAATTGAAACCAAAAGCTTTGCATATATGATTTCAACCGATAATCACGAATAAGTTTTAAGGCCAACAGTAGAGTGCCTACAAATTATATATACCTTACGGTATAACTGGACCTTACCCTTTATAAGGAGGTATTCTTAATAAAATTAGTACAAGCACTTTGAACAGCTTCTTTGAAATTTCGAGGCAAATGCCGGCGTAATTATCCCTAACGACGGAATAACTCTCACTGATAGTATGCAGACTGATGTGAGTCTAATTGTTCAAAACAGGGCTATTCAAGGTATTGATGCAAGAATGGTTAACACTGCATTTAAGAACAAGGCTTTACAGTTTACATCAAAGTTAATGTGAAAATGATCCCAATCGGTGAATGATTAACAAAAATTATGAAATTTTTTTCATATATTGTTTTGGGTTACTTGGACTATTACGAAATGTGTGCACTATGAACTGAGCTGTAAAAAATAATGGGTCATTTGAAAAGTCTTTGCGGTTTTTTTCTCGGCTTAGAGATCCATTTAGTAGTCTGCTCTTTTCATATCATTCCAAACTGTCACGTGGTTAATGTTCAGTGCCACCCCTATTCTGTACAGCTTGCGTGCTTCACCAGTTGTAAAATTTCAACGACATTTTCGGCCAGAGCAGAATGCATTTTTGACGTCCAAATTTCGAATCGAGGAAACCACACCTAGGGCCTTCGGTCACCTGTAGAAAAAAAGCATCACATAGCGTATTTCTTCGGATATTCGACCCGTTTTTACGCGAGCAACGAATTAGAAAAGTATTTTCAAAAAAAATGTAAGATAAAATGTCACCTTTCGCTTAAGACAATCAAGTGAGTGTTGCCCGATATCTAGGCATTAACGCCATCCTGAGTGAAAAATCGCAAGGACTTTTTATATGACCTGTATGAATATTTTCACGGTCCAAATATGGTACGTCAATTTTTTTGTCTTAAATTACTATTATGTTATAATTTTCATCATGAAGCTTTGAATATTATACCTTTGTGTCGTATGAACTCCAGTTTCCGTTGTATGAGAGAGGATTTAAAAATTGCCCTCAGCCGATTTAAAGTTTTCACACCAATTTAGAATGCCGAAATAACACTACTTAGCTACTTTTGCCGAGAAATTTTCAAAATTACAATTTTTTTCCATATAACGGCTTTTCGGAGTAGGGCCTTGTATGGGGAGATCGGTCTGAACCATTTTCAATAGCGTTCGTGCTAGAGTCAAAACATGTCACTGCATCAAATTTCATCAACATATCTCGAAAATTGCTACCTGTAGCTTGAATACAAATTTAGATAGACAGGCGGACAGACAGACAATTCAAATTATGATTCTGAATCGATCGGTATAATAATAGAGAGTCTTCAGCTCTTCTGCGTCTTACATACGTCCGCATTAGCTTAGTAAATCTTCTACCACAAGTGCTGTAGGGTATAGAAACGAAAGAATAGGCGGAAAGCAAACCCTTTATGATAGCAGTTTTTTTGACTTCTTCTTTTATTACCCATTACTGGGTATAAATGCCCACATTTTTTTTTTTTCATGATATTATTGCTTACGAAGTTATATCATTAAGTGAAGCCAAAAATCTCCTAGCTGTGTATATAATTTCACTGTTAGTTCTCAACCCTGTCCAATTGCGAATATAACGCAACTACGACCTTTGCCTTCTCCCAATGTCTATACGCTCTTCGATAGGACATTCCATTATTATATGTAGGACTTCATGTTTTCCATGTGTCCAAATTACACAGCTCTTCTTCTTTTTCAATATATTTTAATATCTCACGATCATTGTTTTATTTTTCTCAGGACTTCAGCATTGTGTATGCGATCTGCCCATGACTTGCTTGCCTTCATTTCAGCGAAACGCGATATATTTTAGGATTTCTAGCACCACAAAGCACTCTTATACTTTTTTGTGAAACCAGGATTATTTGCTTGTATGTATTCTAATTGCTTATATGTATTCTCTATTGTTAGACGCCTCAATGAATTCAGGATATTTCAACATAGGCTAAACTGATATATCAAATTTTTCAGTTTTTTTAAAAGGACTTACCAAGGTTGATAGTATCAACGAGAAAATCTAATTTACTGTGCAAGCGCTTTCGATAAACTAAGCAATTGGGCTTTTCCGAGCATTTTATTTTCTTATATGAATAAATTCCAGAATCAGAATTTTGGAAAATATTTCAAAAGGTATTTTTGAAAAACACTTTGGTACAGCTTTATATAGTTTTTTCAAGCTTGTCTTCTTTTAAGTTGAGAAAAGTTAGTTATAACATTAATTTATTCTTATACATCGTTATATCTGTCTGTCTGTCTGTCTATATTTCACATGCAATACAAAATAATTTTGCATTCAACTTAATTTTCTGCACATGTTTCAGTTAACACAAGGTTGCAAATTAAAAATAACTTCTTCAAAAAAGCAATGAAAAAAAAAAAAGATGTATAAAATAAAAAAAGAGATACAAAAATCATGACAAAATTTACACCAAAAAAAATAAAATTTTAAAGGAAACAAGAGTGTTAAAAAAATAAAAAAAAAAAAAAAAAATAATAATAATAATAATAATAATGGAAAATAATTTTAGGAAGCATGTAAAAGAAAAGAAAAAAAATCTCAGCACTAAGAAGTCATGCGTCGTCTGTTTGCATTTGTTGCAATGCGCAAGTTACATTTAACCTAAAGGAATACATATATTTATATATATATATATATATATATATATATATGCATATTTTGTCTACATAAAAATCCAACCAAAGGAATGTCTCTATATATATACAGGAAGGAAACGTTTCTTATATTTAAATATATATATTTATATATATAACTCGTAGCTTAAGTCTGATTAATATTGGATGAAACATTTGGTGACTCGACCGGTATTGACATGATTACTTACGTACATTGATATATATCCCTGCAATTGAACGCTAGTGGCATGAAAAAGAGCAGAAGAAACAAATAGCGAAAAAGAACGAAGATATACATTTTAGAACCAATCAATGAGTTAAGCCCTTAAGTCCTTAAGTCCGAGAAAACTAAATATGGCAAAAGTATTCTCTATAAAGTTTAAATTTATCAGAGTAATACCTGCTCGTCTGATCATTATCAATACGTTGATGAAAAAATTTTAGAAATTTCTAAAGTTATTTCGAAAAATAAAAAAACGCATACTGGCAGATAACGTTCCTTAGGCCTGAGATCGATTTTAGGAATCAAAAATATGTCTTTCATTTTTAAATAGACTGACAGCCGCATTCTGAGCAACATGACAGACAAGTCACAAATCAAAAGATATTTTTTGCTTGTGTTTTTCGTCACCTAACAGCGTTAGTTTATAACAAGGCTTGTGTTGAAGAGTCATAAACGTTTTAAATAGTCCTCGCTTAAGCCTAGCGACCAGTCACAGCGCCCGAGAAAAGCAGATTACTACTATGGACTAAGAAATTTGATACAAAGTCATAAACGTTTTGAAAAGAAAACAAACAGTCCTCTCTTATGGCTAGTGATCGATCACAGGACCAGCATAGGGCTGTAAGTTTTTTTTTTTTGCTAATTAACTAATCGATCGGAGTATTTTTTTCTTTACAAATGGTTTTTAGCTCACTTTGTGCTATAATATATATTTATAAGTTCTAAATTACTGAGAGGTGGTCACCCGCGACTGACGTGGGCTAATCAAGCTCGTTTGTGGCTTGCAGTTCTAGATGGTGTTTGTAAATATCAATAAAATAACTTTAGATCAGTACAAGGTTACAATCTTAACGCTATTGCTAGCGTTGTTATGCTTTCGTCAAGCCTGCTTTTAAAATTACTGCTTAGCCTTTCGCTGAGGCTGCAATTTTTTATAAGAACTTTTGCGACCTCGAATTTACCAGGAACAACCGACAGAGTGGCAGTTGATGAAACTTGACATTTTCAGGCCTTTACCGTCTACTCCGTTGCCTTTGAACCCGCGATCATTGAACTGTTAGTTGCGATCTTTTGCCTACTCGGCCGCACATGGGGATTTCGAAGCCTTTGATTTGCTATAAAAAAGTGACAAGTGTCGGCCGGTCGTCCCAATTTTCGTGCCTTGCCATGGACATGGACCTTGTAATAAAGAATTATTCAGAAGATACTGAAGGATTAACTCGACTCTAAACGATAATTAGAACAAACAGTACTAAGAGAACCATTTCTTTCCATTGTAGCACTGATAAAAGAAAAAACTAGTAAAACTACCCTACACCACCCTAAAGTTGTTCAGATAACGGCTTTTCAAACTAAGGCGATATATAAAAACTGCTCGAAAAATTTGTCCAATGCGAAACATTTTCAACAAATACAAATTTTCAACTACAGCAACCCCACAACCAATAAAACACATTATAACCTTTAGAAGAAACGAGGTACAGAAATAATCATAATTTTCTTCATTACTTTTCGTAAATGACTGAGGACTGATTCGAAATCATTTTTACAAATAAATAAAAACACTAGAGTGGATTTCGGTCCATCCGTGCCCTGCACCAACCTACAGTTATTCACATAACTACTTTTCAGTACAAGTCATTATATGGACAGCAGTTGAAAAACTGGTCCGATCTAGACCAATCTCAATAGCATTCATCTTTGGGTCAAAGCACGTCGTTGTAAAAAATTTCATCAAAATATCTGGAAAATTGCAGCCTGTAGACTGAACACACAAAAAAATGACGGGCAGACAAACTTAGCGCACTGAAAGGTGGGTTTAACCCAAGTCCTTTATTGTATTGCACAAATTGAATATATACTCATTTACTACAAGCGGCGTAGGGTATAAATAGTGAGAACATTTTTTTGAGTGTATGTTGCATACACTCTGCTCTGCTCTGCTACAGTTGCATATGGCATGCGTTAACAAAATACGAGAGAACTAATGGTTATGGGTGACTGACGAATTTATATTTTTGCATATCATCTGAGCACTTAAAGGAACATCATGTGAATTGATTTTTAGTTTTTAGACTACGTGGAGATGAGAATACCAACAAAAACAATAATAATAAATGAAAACGAATAATAAACGATTTATAACGAACGCGCAATGCATCAACAACAATTTTGTCGGTATCGTCGTGAGAAATTTCTCCATAAGAAAATTGTTGGAAAATTTTATGTATGCCTAGACGACGACAACGACGACAACGACGACTCTTATAAGCGACTCTTATGCATGAAGGCAAGTGATGAGAGCTAAGCGGTACAGACTCGGAAATAGTTATTGATTTTTAGTCGAGTGACAAAAAAGACAACAAAAACAACAAAAACATTAACCACAAGCAGAAATAATCACGAACAAACATTTCGCAAAGCAGTAAGGAGAAAAAGATTTTTCCTATCAGACGTCGCAAGTGAGACAAAGAGCAGACAGTGAAAAATTTTCTCTAACGGTAATTCTTGCAAAATTTTGCAAATTAAATGAAACTGAAAAAAAATTTAGAAGCAATTAAGAAGTTAAGAAATATTATCGAAAATTTAAAGAAAAGTTTGCAATTTCCAAAAAAACAAAAAAAAAAAATAGAAGGATATGGGAAAATATTGTGAAATTAAAAACAAAAACGAAAAAAAAAAAAAAAAACAAAATTATTTTAAATAAAAGTTTTCTATTAACTTTTACAGCTTTCCGTTAAAATTTATGTTAACAACAATCTTACGGTAATTTGTTAATAAGCACAAAGCAATTTTGAAAAGCGACAACAGACGTTTTCATAAAAGCATCAAAAGAATTTTGAAAAAAACAGAAAAGGGAAAAAATCGTAAGTATCATCGTTTTAATAAAACGTTGACCTCATTTTCTATGCATATATGTAGTGTGCAAAAGGTATACACATAACGTGACAGCTTAGCTGACCACCCACAGGGTCACGCCTTTTTTCTTTTTTTTTTTTTTTTTTTAAGTTTACACTTTTCTCGGCTTTGGTAACTTACAAGAGATACATATTTCCTTTTTTTCTTGTTTTCTTTTTTTTGTTTTTGGTGGGGAGGAGAAGGGTTTAGATTTTCGATAAAGCGATTCAACTTCAAGAAGAGCCAAAGGAGCGTTACTTTGATTTTTTTGTACGGAATTATTTAATTGAGATTTATTTTCGCAAAATGGGCAAGGAAAAGACTCATATCAACATTGTCGTAATTGGTCATGTTGATTCGGGTAAATCGACTACGACTGGACATTTGATTTACAAATGTGGTGGCATCGATAAGCGTACGATTGAGAAATTCGAGAAAGAAGCCCAAGAAATGGGCAAAGGTTCGTTCAAGTATGCCTGGGTTTTGGATAAATTGAAAGCGGAACGTGAACGCGGTATCACAATCGATATCGCTTTGTGGAAATTTGAAACGCAAAAGTATTATGTAACCATCATTGATGCACCCGGTCATCGTGATTTCATTAAGAACATGATTACCGGTACTTCGCAGGCCGATTGTGCTGTTTTGATTGTTGCAGCCGGTACCGGCGAATTTGAAGCCGGTATCTCAAAGAATGGTCAGACACGTGAACACGCTTTACTCGCTTTCACTTTGGGCGTTAAACAATTGATTGTCGGTGTTAATAAAATGGATTCAACCGAACCGCCATATAGTGAAGCACGTTACGAGGAAATCAAAAAAGAAGTCTCATCGTATATCAAGAAAATTGGTTATAATCCAGCTAGCGTGGCATTTGTACCAATTTCCGGCTGGCACGGTGACAATATGTTAGAACCATCTGAGAAGATGCCCTGGTTTAAGGGTTGGACTGTTGAACGTAAAGAGGGCAAAGTTGAAGGTAAAACTTTAATCGATGCTTTAGATGCTATTATGCCGCCCCAACGTCCCACCGATAAGCCATTGCGCTTGCCCTTACAGGATGTTTATAAAATTGGTGGTATTGGTACAGTCCCAGTAGGACGTGTCGAAACTGGCATACTAAAACCAGGTAAGCTTAAGCTTAGTTAAACGTATAATGAAAAAATACATTTTTTTTTAAAATAATTTTTCAAAATATTATTCTCAAAACTAATGCTTTTTTCTTTCTGTTTCTTATACTTTTGTGTCTTAATTGCTATGCCAGGTATGGTGGTAAATTTCGCTCCTGTTAACTTGACTACTGAAGTCAAGTCTGTTGAAATGCATCATGAAGCATTGCCAGAAGCTTTGCCTGGCGATAATGTCGGCTTCAATGTTAAAAACGTTTCCGTTAAAGAACTGCGACGTGGTTACGTGGCTGGTGATTCGAAAAATTGCCCTCCCAAGGGTGCTGCTGATTTCACTGCTCAGGTAAGTTTAATATATTTTTATCATGCTACATATATAGCGGTCTGCTTATGAATACATAATTGGTGATGAGAGCAAGGAAAAACACTGTAGTGGGCCACGATCAATCATAAAATAACCTACATCACTTTACAGTTATTTATATAACGAGGTGTTTTGTAGAAAATGGTCGTAAAAGTGGTCTGGTTAGACCAGTTTTCAATAGCGTTCGCCCCTGAGCAAAAAGAAAAGACGGCAAAGCAAATTTCATTAAAGGGACAGACAGATAGAGAAACAGACAAACTCAGAACAACTCTCTGAATCGATTATTATAATAAAAGGTGCATCTATCTCAAGTCTTTGTGGGTGTTGCATACATAGGGACAAGCTTAATATAAGCTTATACCACAAGTCGCATAGAGTGTATAAAGGCTTTAAATAGATAGGTAATTCTAGGCTACTGTAATGACTGAATACGGTACCTAATAGTCTACTGTGAACTCATACTTTGTAATATTCTTGGGCAAACGTGGGCATCGATAAGACTATCGCTTTGAAGGAAGCAGTACTTCACTACGCAAATAGTTACTTAGTACAGCTATCGAACTCTTTTAAGTATATAACACTTGACTAGAGAATAAAAAAAGAAAATAAAAGAAGAAAATCACTTTGTTTTGAAACTACGATTTCTTTACTTCCGAACCTTTCTACTAAATTTTTCTTTCACACTGACGAACTTGTGCTAAGTCTTTCCATTTGAACGACTGCTAAACTTCCATAACCAATCTTTCATTTGATTTTTATAAAAACTATTTAACACAAAATGTATAGCAAAGAAATCTTAAGAATTTTTACAAAATTTCACTCTCTTTTCAATAATGAACGTTTTCAAAAACAAAACTCTAAAGCGTCGGGCAGAAATGTCAGCAGCCCATAACTAACAAATTGATCATAAATTCACTTCGCTCACTTTTAATCTCGCTACCATAGTAAAAATGTTGACCAGACATAATGGATTTGAAAGATGTCATATTAGCGCAAGATTCCGTTGCGACTTGACCGTGTTCAACATTTGCCCCCATCTATGTTCAGTCATATTTGCAAAAATTGATAAAGAAAGATGACAACTTGTCGTATATGACAACAACTTTCAGTGTATATCCGAAAAAAAGCATGACTGATCGAAAACTGAAACAATAAATAATCGTGGCTTACAGAGATACAAGAGATATTGATCTAAAATCTGAGGCAAATATTTTGAAAACCGGTTGGTGTCGCTCGACTAATGTTGCGCCATGCGGCAACATATATTATATATTTTTAAAGGGATTAAAGGATAAAATAACAACTTCCCACACTTCCCCCAAAAACGATCGTCTTGATCGTCTTTTTCTTCATCTTTAAGAGCCTAAAGGTTTTAGGCGAAAATATAGAAAAACTGTCGGTTCTTGAGAAAGGAATGCTTGTGCCAAATTTCAGCTTTTTAGTTCCATTTGCGCGATTGTGGCCTCTCGGCAAAAATAGCGATGTGTCATCGTTTGAAGGTCTTTTCGTATAAGTAAAAGCAGTCAATAAATTTTGGAACTTTTTGCAATATTACTTGTGCTATAATCATTTCCTTGCAAATCGACAATAAATGAGTAAGAAAGTTATATTCGGCGAGGGCTGAGTCTCGCATACCCAACACTATTAAAATCTATGTCGCATTCTATACTCCAAGTCTTTTCATTCGCTAACCATATCAAAGGTCTTTCTACGAAAACAATTATCCACTAAGTCGTGCCGTCTACCACACTTAATTTAGAATTAGCACACTTAGCTTGTCGCATGCTACTTTCTAAGTCTGTTTATGTGATATTAAGAAGTAATTAATCCTCCAGGTCGCGGTGTCCGCAATATTTATTTTAGAATTAATCCTTTTCTAGGCATATAATATATCTTTGCTTTTGTGTGGGCAGGGCTGATTTTTCTATTTTTGCACATAAAGAGCAAAATGTTTAATAAAATAAATCTAGAATAATTTCAGCCTCCTATGTTTTATAATTTCGTAGTAACGAGCAAAAACCCACAAATTTTTATTCAGCAAAAAAGGAGTTGAGTTCAGTTTAGGCTCCACTACGGGCTTCTGCTACGACCAATTTGGCACATTTTCAATACCAACCTGCGTGCGAAATTTTCCAATGTATCTATCATATTTGAAGTCGATAACTTCACTTTTGCGACCAGGAGAGTGGCAACAAAGAACACAACACAGACGGACAGACATGTCTTAATCAGTTCAGAGTTTCATGCTGATCAAGAATAAAAATATACTTTAGACAATCTTTGAAGTTTCCTTTTGCGTGTTGCACACATTTCGAAAAAAAAAAAAATGATTAAACCCCTATCCCCATATTGGTGGCTATAAAAAAGATTAAATTGTCGTACTTAGTATTTGTAGCGTTAAAGATTCGTTCCAAGCTTAATGTAATTTTCACATTTGCTACAGTTGTTGTAAAGTTGTAACCATACATTTGGCTTGAATTACTTATTTCTTTATGACATCATTGTATATGTTATATAAAAATTATAAATAAACTATCAACTAATTAATACTATTGAAGTTGAATCGCATGCTAGAATCAATATTATCTTAATATCGTATTGTTTTTGATATTTCATGTTACCGGCTGATTTAATATCAATTAGACAATGTCTTTTATACCATACACCACTTGTGGTGCAAGAACGAAAGTATGCGGCACCCAGAGCGACTTAAGATAGGCCCACCTCCTATTATACCGATCAATTCAGAATCACTTTCTCAATCGTTTCAAGCTTATCTCTATGTCTGTTCATCTTCTTATCTTGTACTCAACCTGCAAGCCGAAATATATTAATGAAACTTGATACACTGACTTGTTTTGCCCTAAGGACAAATGCTACTGAAAATGTTTCCGATCGAAACTCTACAGCACTTTTCGAACACCTCCCGTATAACGACTCATTACAAAAAGCCTAGAGGAAAGTCTACAGCCCACTACAATGTTTTTACTTGTTATTCATGTTCAATTTTGAATGAAAACTTAATGTTTAGGCGAGAAAAAGCCGAGTTAGATTAAACGAATTTCAGCAAAAGTATTACAAAACAATCTAAACAATATGTATGTGTTACAAGAAGAGTGATCGTAAAAACGATCCGATTCAATTCATCTCCAATAGGGTTCGTGCATGGATCAAAAAAAGTCCCTGATAGACATTTAATCGTTAAAGAACAAAATCAAATTTATAAAAATTCAAGGAATTGCAAAAGTTACGAGAGAGACAATGGAAACTCATCGTTTGCATGGTTTGATCAAAAACTAAGAAGAATTTTTGATTGTGTAACCTTCAATAGCAGCCTTAAATTTGGAACTTCTTTTCCACGTTGTCTCCGGTACTTATAGGTAGCATTTTGATTTCCCTTCGCCATCGTACATATATATATATATATATATATATATTTGTCACGTGTCACTGTGATGGCAAGCAATGACTAATACCCTGCTGTGATGTTCAAAACGTTAATAAAAGTCGGTCCGTCTGACCTTAATTGTTACGAAGCGTAATTTTTTTAATTTTTTAAATTCTTTCTTCAATGTCGAACATGCCAGGCTAACCAGTCATTCTAAAATTTATTGTCGTCGTCTATTCGGCTTTATTGAAAGTGACCGTGCTACAACTGTTACACTGCCTCGGGATTTTGTTATAATAGTGCAGATATTAGGTTATTTTCAATGCTTGGCAACCAACTGAAACAAAACAAATTTCGAAATTGTCGTTAATTTGTGATCAACGCGCGTATACACTCGCAAGAAAAAAGGAGTTTGACAACAGATTTAACATGCCCAAAAGAATGAACACAATATCTTAATAATCATGGCATCAGCAGTTCAGATGGACCTAACAAGTCCATTGGACATTTTGTAAAAATTTTATTATATACTCTACAGAACCTGTACTGCAAGTTTTTGCGGATGTACGCAACATCCAGAAAGGCTTGACAGAGAGACCCAATTTTTATAGTGCTTATCGATTCAGAATAGATTTGATGATTTGATTTAGGCGTATCTGTCCGTCTGTCCACTTGTCTGTCTTTGGTTCTTGTGTTCAAACTACCGATCGTGCTTTTTGATGAAACTTGTTGCACTAACGTGTTCTGGCCCAAAGATGAACGGTATTAAAAATGGTACAAATCGATTAACTGTAGGGTGCCCCGGGGGATTTAATAGTGAACCATGGCTTACTAAAGCGTTTTTACACTTTCTTTGGTTGCACACGCTGAACACGTTAAACTAATCTGTAAAAGTTAAAAAGTGTTGCGTTGATTATGGACTTGTGATATTGACTTTCTGTATGGCTCTGTGAACTATTGCAATCTGTCTCAATTTAAACCAATATATGAAATACGCTGCAAAGATGTAACCCTTTGCCTGTTTCAAGACTTTGAAAAATATATAAAACCTATGTCAGATGCACGTCTTTCATTACAGCTGTACAGCTCAGTCGAGTTTGCGCCAACGAAGGGGCTCTACGAGAGACATTCTCATGGCCTTTTACATTTAAAAGCTAATTTTTAAAAAAATATGAATAAATTTCCGTTTTTTCTTATATCTCTCTTAGGTCATTGTTTTGAATCATCCTGGTCAGATTGCTAACGGTTATACTCCCGTATTGGACTGTCATACCGCTCATATTGCTTGTAAGTTTGCCGAAATTAAAGAGAAATGTGATCGTCGTACCGGCAAAACTACAGAAACTGAACCGAAAGCGATTAAGTCCGGTGATGCTGCTATTATAATGCTGGTACCCACTAAGCCGTTATGCGTTGAAAGTTTTCAAGAATTTCCGCCACTGGGACGTTTTGCGGTACGCGATATGAGGCAAACTGTTGCGGTTGGTGTCATTAAATCGGTAACCTTTAAAGAGACGTCCTCGGGTAAAGTCACAAAAGCCGCTGAGAAGGCCCAAAAGAAGAAATAACTAGGGAGTCAGCAGCAAACAATTACAATTAAATTATATTATTATTTGGTCATGTCGCCAAATGATGAAAAGCAAAAAACAATTGCTAACAAAACTCATACATTTACTAAGCATAAATTTATTGAAAAAAACAAAAAACAATTACTACAATTTATTATCACTGATACGATTAGTAATTATAAAAATAATAATAATAATAATAATAATAATAATATTGATAATAATAATGATAATGATAAAAAATCCAAAAAATCAACACAACAACAGCAACAACATACTCTTTTAACTATACATGTAAACAAACAAATATCCACACCAACACCAATATTAATAATACCAATAATAACAACAACACCAGCACCAACACCACCACCGTCATCGCAATCTACAGCATTAAGCATAGAAAAGACATCATCATCATCATCATCATCGTCATCATCATCATCCATTACTCAAGCAACTACTGATGACAATGATTATGATAAAGATAACAGCACTTTATCATTCCTTAAACTTATTCAACATCCTAAAGCCATCAGCAGCTTCAGTAATAAATCACTTAAAGTAACCACCAATACCAAAACCGTTGATATTGAAAATTTTCAAAGCATTTCACTTAAAATTTTTATGATATTTTTATTAATTTTATACTATAATTATTTCAATTTAAATCTGCACAGACATCGTAAATCATTTCGCAGGAAATCGGAAAAGAAGCAATGTTATTATAATCAAATAGTAACATCGCCGCAATGGCAAAACTTTCAATCGATCATTTTATAATTATGGCATTATTTACATCAGCAGCACTAGCATTCGCTTAAGCAACAGAACTCGCATCATAACTATCATCATCATTATCATCATCATTATATTCATCATTATCATCATTATCACCATCATCATCATCATCATCAGCAGCATTGTCGTCGTCGTCGTCGTCATACATGGCAGAGGTGACCTTTAACCACTTCTATATTCATGTACTCATATACACACTGTTATATTATTTTTAATACTTTCTCCAAACTGTGAAATCGTTTATTAATCTGTTAAGTGTTCTTAAGTTTTCAAAAAAAAAAAAAACAAAAAAAATGAAAAACAAAGAAAAAAAAAGAACAGAAAGAGAGAGAAAAAAAAAACATAATTCGCTTGCTTTAAAGCAAAAAAAAAAAAAAAAAGTTTTATTAAAGAAAACCAAAAAACTTCCCTAATGCCAGGAAATAAAATTTAATGTTTGCATTCCTATTATGCCTCCCCCTTTCAATTCATACCTTTAACTCTCTAACTTTGTTAAACTCTTTAGATTTAATTTCTCAGCGTCAGCTCAACACCATCCTATACTATACACACATTGGGAATTTTAAATTCCTTACCACTACAACAAATAATAATAATAAAATTAACAATAATAATAATAATAATAATAATACCAGCAAAACCAACAGCAGCCAAAACTTGAAAAACTGAACTTTTGAATTGAATTTGGACACAACATTCGCAGTATATCTCCAGCAGAAAAAAAATTTAAAAATAAACAAATAAACTAATAAATAAATAATTAAATAAAAATAGTTTAGGCTTAGAACTATCGACACAATGACACAACATTCTCTCATTGCAAAACTTAACATATATGTACGAAAGAAAAAATCGAAATCTCTAAAATATTAAATAAAATACATAAAATAATAAAAAATTATAAATGTATTTGATTAACTCACTAAAAAAAAAAAAAAAAAACAATACAAAAAAAAAATACAAAAAATACAAAAAAAAAAGAAAGGAAGGAAAGAAAATAATAATAATCAAATAAAAAAATTAAGCATGAAAATTATTCGAATTAAAAATTTTGATGGTAAGCAAAGCATATAATGTGAAGAAGAAAAGCCACACAAACAAAGATCATTAATTATCATCAACTGAGAAGGAAATGAATGATAAGCTTAACCAAAAGCAAGAATAAAAAAGAAACACAACCTACTCTAAAGCGATGTGAAAGTTTGTTTCATTACATATGTACGCTGTAGTTGCCTTGTAGAGTTAAATCATAACTACATCTTTTAAAGGTATTTCCAGGAAAAATATCAAAAACTTTTCGTATCAAGTCCACAAGATTTAAAATTAAAATTTTTTTTTTTGTTCTAATATGATCAATCGTTCAAGGCGTGTTTCGGAGGAAGAGAGAAGGAAAGAGCGAAAAAGATAGAAGCAGTGGCCGCAGCATAATGGAGGTGTGCATAAAAGTATAGCATAGCTCTTAACGTCTAAGAAATCATTATTGCTTTGATCAAGTATGATCAAATCGAACTTGCGAACATCGACTTGATAATCGTGAAATCGCTCGGCGTACGCATTCAAAATTATCAAAGAACTAACTGATCGACCTGCAACATAAGCGTTTGGAGGGAAATGCTTGAAGTAATAAAACAAATAAAAACATTATACTCCGCCACGATTCACACTTAAGTAATCTACCCTAGCATCTCACAGGCATTCATGTAACGACTTTTCAAAATGAGGCGTTATATGGGAAGTAGTCAAGGAAGCTGTCCGATCCGAATAATAAAATAGAAAATGAATATATTTACAAAACGTAATAGTACGCATACTGTCGAAGAAGCATAGGGAGTTACCAGTCGAGAGAGAAGAAAGAAGGTCACAAGATTATTTGCGTAACTAAATATTCACATAGGTCAAACAAATGAATGTGATCAATGGACACCCGATAAAGGTAAATAAAGAGCAACATAGATTACTTGCCTAGCATCTATTTTCATAGAATTCGGACCAGGGCAGAAGACTAGAAACAACATAGCATCATGTTTATGTTCATGTTAAAGTGATAAACGCATACATAGCTTGGACTCTTCGAGCTACGCAATCTCCTCTCGTTCTTCGTCTGCGAGTCAGCAAGACAACGATAAATCATTTACTGACTTGGGTATAAAAGCATAAAAAATTCAATAATAAAAGACAAAATTTGATGAAAATCGCCAAGGACAAAAAACAACGAATCGAAAAATGTCCTCAACACGTACCAATGATGTGCCACAAATTGATGTCAATTTCAGTTATCAGAATTTTTGACTGCTTTACCGTCTACTATGAATGCTTTATAACATCCGTTTGCAATCATTGCCGAAACTCTTTTCAAACGTTATTTTAGGATATTAACTGTTCTAATGATTTTATTTCAAACACACAATTTTTGAGGCTTAGCCAGCGTGACGTTCTTCATTTGCTGAATTCAAGAAGAAGAATGATTGAAGACAGTTTCTTCTCACTAACTAAGGGGAATGGAAAACCGATCTCAAGCAAGTTTATTCTAAAAAGATGTATAGAATATCACAGGATTTTGGCGATATTAGTTCAAGCTCCATAAAGGTCGATTCTTAAATCAACACTTCTCATGGACACAACGTATAAAATCTTTCAACAAGAATTGTCATTGCGCCATTTTTAAATTGTCAGTGTAGAAGTTTTTAATTACTCTGATGTAAACGTAGCAATATTTTCATTTTCCACAATAATGTTAAGTTGTTTACTTACAATGTACAGTAAGACTCAATGAAATTGTCTGAGCAATGAAACGGAGAAAGAAATCAAACTTCTTTCACGTATTGCTATCAGACGATATTCGCTTTGGTTCAGTTTATTTATATTAACACGTAGGACAGTTATATTCGCGCTAGGATGAATCCTTGATTCTTTCTTCTTTTTCTTTGCATTTCTATCATCTTACAAAATGATGTACAAGCGTACATAAAAGCATCTAATAGTAAGTTTAAGCTGATAATTATTACGCAAGTTAATTGCAAGCTTTATTTAAAGAAAAAAAAATCGGGTGGTACCAGTTTACATATTTTATTGATCTTCAAATATATTTTTACAGGATTTTATATAAAACTCATCTTATATATAAGCAGTAAGTTTGAGTGTTAATTTGGCCAAGTTTGTAGACGGTTTTAATTAGACCAACTTTAAGTAAGAATGCTTCCTTTACAATTTTTTCAAAAGTCAAACACTCTTCGTCCTTATATGCTTAAATATATTATCAAGAGTCGTAGCCGTAAAGCAGGGTATGCATTCTGTCAAAAAAATACTAGAAATACTGTTCATTTAACACCTATTACTGCCATCCGGCTGTACACTGCGTTTACTATTCTAAACAGCAGTCATCATCATTTTCAACTTCGGATCGTAGAAAGAAAAAAAAAAAAGAAAATTTTATAGGAGAAAACACTGAAAATATCTGAAAAAGTCTTCGGTGAAAATGTTCTATCAAATCCTTGAACTGGCGTCTTCCCTGCTTCATCCACTACTAAATATATCTAATAAAGAAGGGAATAGTGATTCACGCTTAAGGGAAATAATTCATTCTGTTAATATGTTCGCATGAATGACACTTTGGGGAGAAAAAGCGACTTCCAATCGTATTGGCTTAAAAGGACACAACTTTCGTTTATTGAGCTGTAAGCATATGTAAAAAGTGCTTCCCGATGACCGAATTCGACAATATCATCAAACATATTAACCCAATTAGGCAATAGTGTATGCTCAACGAACTTGCGCGTGCGCGTGCGCCTGCGCTTGTGCCTCTCGCAAATGTCATAACAAAATTAATATATCATCAAATGTTCGCCATCAATTTAAAAATGCAAATCAATGACCGATATTTGTTAACACATTCATCGTTGTTTAAATTTAATAATCAGCTTTATTACGTTTAGGCTTTCGGCTCTTTTTTCCATTTTTTTTTTTTTTATTTTTTTTATAAATTTGTCATATCGTGAATTACGGGATGTTCATTAAACGCTTTGCATTTATGAGTTCAACGAGTTTTTTGTACTTGCTTGGCGTGCGACCACATCAATATAAACGCACCGTAACGAAATTATATTTATCTTAAGGCGAATGTTGAATATTTCTCGCTTAATTTAATGTACAGCGACTGCTTACTTTTTCGCTAACTGCAAGTTTATTACGTAGCCCAGAAGCAATACTACCTGACTAGTAGCAGCAAGAATTTGTTTAACTTCCAAGAAAGACGTACATATGCTGGCGCTATTTTAGGTTAAAATCAGCTCCAAGGGTTTGTAGACTACTTGTAGATATGTACATTTCCAAAAATATTAGACTCTTCCGAGGCAGATTTATGTCATATATTACGTAATGTATGTATGTACATAATTTTGAAAGACGGGAAACGATTCAATATTTTGTTATACCAAAAGATTTAGATTAGTTTTCGGAATCTATGTAAGCATCACTTCCCATCTGTTCATGTACCTGTCTGTCCATGTGTCCATCTTTTCATATATCCCTCCACTCATGCTCCCTGCGTCCATGCGTCATTCCCGTGACCGTTTTCTATCTGATCTGTGCGCCGCTGTTCTAGTGCTCAAACCTCAGCTCAAAATTATCGCTCAGAAATATTTTGGCTTACCTACGAAAGTTCTCGAATATGTTTAGTTAATTTCATGTAAATTATTCGATACATCAAATTTCTATTATGTCTCTTTAGGTCATTAAATTTCTAACATAGAATACTTTTTTGTTTGTTGCTCCAAACGAGAATTGAACTTTTGTTCATACTTCAAGCATTTTGTGTAAAAGAGATAAATCTGCTCTCATTGGTGATCCGTGTTACTTCAAAATCATGTAACCATAGGATTGGTTATATATCTGTTTTTCTGTCTGTTTGTCTGTTTATGTACACATATTTCATATTATATGCATGTGTGTAAAGTTTTTCATTTCGTTGACTTTTATTTAACAGGTTAACACACTAATAACGTCTACAAATGACTACTAACCACACTTGCATGAATTATGATCAAAATACTATCTACAAGTGCCTAGTAACCACACTAAGCAGAATTTGTTGCATACATGATCAAAAGGCATTTGCGGCAAAATTTGCCGAATCATTAGTTAAGATAACCACATGAAAATCACCTCAGAGATATTTCTCTGATCCTTAGTTTTTCCATGGGTTAAGTTGCTCTATTAATACAAAAAATATATTAGTGTTGGTAACCCTTTCCAAACGTCAAATTGAATTTTTGATGTTTGAAAATTTATTTCAAACATTTTTCACATTTTTTAGTTACGGTCGACAACTGAATTCAACTTAGCTGCTGAGCCACTTAAGCTAAAATCTCGGTCTCATACTAATGCCGAGCAGCGAAAAATGCCAGTGAAGGAAAGAATGGTATAGAAAAACAAAGCAGGCGGAAGTAATCCACGAAAAGGAAGGGGGTGTGAAAGAACTACCCAATGAGACGCAGCAGATAGAGCCCAAAAACGAAAGGAGAAAGCAGAACAAATTGGGCGAAGATAAAAAAAATAAAGAAATAATAGCTCCAGGTATTAAAACAATTTTCCTTCTTTTTCTTATCAATATCGCCGCGACTACCGATTGCTTTTGTTCATACTGCTACTCCTTTTTAGGCCATATAGCGCTGTAGGTCTTGCTTCCAGAAAGGCTTTCTTGAATCGATTTAAGCATGTGTACCCGTATAACTGTGTGACAACTTACAGATCGCGGTTTGAAGCAATTTAGTACACTAATGTGTTTTAGCCAACAGAAGTGGCCCACAGGAAAGAAGAAGAGGTAATAGAATAAATTTTAATTCTTTTTCATATCAATTTTCCTAAATTCTGATTTTCTTAGAGCAAATCGGCTGCATTTACAAAAAATATTGTATGCTTTTCCACATTCTTTGAGGACAACAGCCGTAAAGGCGTCACTTTATGAAGCTTACTAACACACGTTTATGTGTCATTAATCTCATTCGTGTTATTTCAAAATCGTGTAACAAAAGAGTTTGTTATGTACCTATTTTTCGGTAAGCTTTTAATCGAAACTTTAGAAAAAACCACTAAAACCTTCTGAAAGCTTTCCTGTTATAGCAAAAAAAAACGTCGATAATATGAAAAAAAAATATCCAAAGCCACAATATTGACGATAACAGACTTACATGAATTACGATCAAAATACCATCTACAAATGACTACTAAACACACTAATACCATCTACAAACCGCTACTAACCATAATAATATTATAAACATAACGTACATTAGAATTCAAAATACGACTAAGCCTAGAGGAAACATAAGCTGTGGCACCAACGACCATGTCCAGTTCATAAAGGATTTTTGACATCAAGAAGGCATTCATCATTCCGCGCAAAAATATAGGAAGTTAATCTACTTTTTTTCGCGTTGTTCATTGTTTCGTACGAAGTCTTACGGACTTTTTTTTTTTCTATAAGTACCACGCAAATATTTTATATAAAATATTTTTATTGTTTATTTTCAGTTATTCGTTTAATCAAGTTTTAAACTCAACAAGTTTTAAATAATACAAATAAAGTAATTAATAAAAATTCTACTAGAGAACTGTAGAAATTTGAGAAAAAATTGTAAAACACATCACCAACAGTTGGCGTTGCCAGTTGTCCAAAATAAGCAAGATCGTATATGATAATAAGAAGCAACAACGGACTATTTATTGTGCGCAATAAATGAATGAAAGAAGAAGAACAAATTGTAAAGAGAAATACATTAGCGGAAAATACATAATTTCATACGCAAGGCCGAAAAGAACGAGAAATTTTTTTTAATAATGGAAGATCTTAGAGCATTCACTGAACTTCTTTTTAAAGCTAACAATATAGAAATTTTACAATAAGCTTGCAGATGAGTGAAGACAAAAACTTCACACAAAGACATTAGCTTATACTAACCATACATGTATACATGATCACCGGATATTTGCGGCGAAATTTGATGAGTGATTAGTTAAGATAAACATGTGGAAATCATCTTAGAGATATTTCTCTAATTCTATCAGAGATCATCTTTTTATATGTTTACGATCACTTAGTTCCTTAGTTTCTCCATTAGCTTAGTTGCAGATGAACTTCTCAGTTTAGTTAAATATTGAAACCAGAAAAACAGAACCAGGCGAACAAACGCAATATTTGAAATTTTATTTAAAACTTTTCAATAAAAAACGATATTCACCCCTACCATCTTTTGTTAATTATTAGTGTTACAACTTAACTTATTACTGCCAGACAATAGGCAGCAACACATGTATGAAAACCAATAAACACATACTCGCTTGATAAATTAACAGATAATTAATGCAATAGTTTAGGCAAAAAGTATTGAGAAAGTTTTCTATTAGTTTCTTACTCTTGCTGGACATGTGACGCCCCATGTAGTGACAAAAGCCTTCTTCTATTCCTTCTCCATTAATCATCGATGCTGGGAGGGAACTTTCTAAATACAGATTGTCGAACATTAGGGGGGAGGGGCAGGCAGGAAATCTAGTTGAGGTGATTTGTGAATACAGATTGAAAATTTTAATTAAAAAAATTTGAGCTTGAAGTGTAACTATCTAAGCAACGTTTGTGGATTCAGACGTATGCATAACCCATAGAATAATTAAGACCTATTAGAAACCGCTAGCTTTTCATACTCTACATCACCTCTTCTAACGACGTATAAGCTTTGTCCAAATATGTGCAAAATCCAGAAGTGCTTGAGTGCAAGTCCGGCACACCAATCAATTCAGTCTGAATCATTTCTTGACACAATTCAATCTTGTCTGTCTCTATACCTCTCCCACGACTGCCCATGTAGTTGCAAATTCCACCTACAGGTCGCGATTTTTAAAAATAATTCGATGAATTTTGTTGCACTAACTTTTTTTGGCCTAAGTTCTAACCCTGTTGAATACGGATTTTATCGGGTCATATTTACATACATATTTGAAACCTCTTCCCCCATGCTAGAAGAAGACATTCATGGGATATTTAACACCCGTGAGCAAAAATCATTGGCAATTATTATTTTGCCATGGTGAAGGAATGTGCAAAATTTTGTATACAATAGGGGCAATTTTGTTAATCATTTCCAACAGAACCATTTTTCAAAAATGAAAACTTAAAATGATTATTTTAAAATATAAAATAAAGGCGTAATAAAGTCAAATTTTCAAAGGTTCATAAAAAATAGTTGATCTGAAACAATAAATCAACATATAAATTTACTCTGATAAGTTTGGACTACTTAGGTTTGTTCAGACTGTTTCTTCCAAAAGAGTTCAAATGAAAAACTAAGTCTTTATATGGCGAGAAGGTATAATTTTTTTCATTTTATAAGAAAAGTTGGTCTAAGGTAATGCTTTAACATATAAACTTACTCTGATAAGTTTGGACTGCATAGGTCCTTTTCTTCAGACTCTTCGCTCTGTAAGGGTTCTCAAGAAACATTAACCTTTATATGGCGACAAAGCAGAATTTGGTCTAAGGTAATGGTTCGTCATATAAATTTTAGATTACGCAGATTTTTTCGGATCTTTCCTTACATAAATATTCCCATCAAGAGTAAGTATTTTAGTGACGCTTAATGTAATTTTTGATCCAAGATAGCAAATTTATACATAATCTCACTGTTTGGATTACATATCTTTTTTCTTCACAGCCCTCACTATATTAGGGTCTAGTTTTGATATGGTGACAAAATACAATTATAATAAAATAATTTTATGACAAAGACAGGAGAAGAATTGCATTAAGCGAAGTGATGTAGGGTATTGAATAGAGGCCCCCTTCCAACGTTTATTCATAAATCTATTGATTTGTGCTTAAATGCCTGTGTATTTAAATAAGCTTCAGTATTCCCTCCAACTTCCATAGGGTTGAAGCTGGAGTTCCAAATCCCGTACCAACAAGGGATCTTCTGCATAATAATCGGCCTCATGGACTTCTGCCATTTCCCTTTCGAAGCAATTATCGAACATAACATTCATAGAAGAATTAGACGCGCCATAATCCTCCGTCTGCTTACTTCCGTTTTGTCTTCGTAGGGCTTCTGCATATCTCCTAACATTGTCCATTTCCTTTTCTAATTCACGGACTTTATTTTTACTTACAGTACACTGCTTGCGCATGTTGACGAACTTGTTTTGACATACTATATACTGCTTTTGCATGTTGACGAACTGATTTTGACAAACTATATACTGCTTTTGCATGTTGAACAATTTTTTTTCACTTTCATGCAGCTTATCCCTAAGTTTTTTTAATTCGCCAACATAGCTTTGAATTTTAGAATCGTCTTCAAAATTTAAAAAGAGTCTTTGTCGAAAATTGAATGGACGTCGATATTCGGGACAGTTTATCGATCGTAACATCCACCTTTCAATACACTGCCCATGGAATACATGGCCACACGCAATGAAGTAAATTAAGTGCGATGCTGTAAAGCTTTCAAAACATATGGAACAGAATGCTCCAGGGGACAACTCCATTTTTCCAACAACTTCTTCAACTTCTTTCCGCAACTTCTTTTCGGCAACGGCACGATATTCTATTTATTGATAAACACAACAGCTGAGATGACTATTTGGCAGTAAAAGCTTTGCACGAAATAAGATCTGTAGAAAAGAAAAGAAAACGTCAATCTGTTAAGATTTTTGCCTTAAAAAAAGATTTTGTACAGTAAAGTTCAAATAAATAGTTTATACGATATAATGGTGGCAGATTCGGACCCCATGTGAAACTCAATGAACCGTTTAGCTAAACTCTCTCTAATCCCTTTGCCATTCAAGAATTCACAAAGACTTTGGGTAAAAGTATTGTAAAAAGCATTGTTGCGGACCTATTAGGACGGTATTCTGCACCGGTTCAATCAAGAACCTTTCATTCGCACCGAATTCATATCCTTTCATACATTCCATGGACGACGCTGTAGTACCTGTACATGGAATGGAAGAATTGACCACTTCTACCCAAGGACACGCCTACAACGGCCACACGTCTACGCGACAAAAACTTCTGTTTCGAAGATAGGAACAAAAGCTGCGCCCACTCCATATTATAGAGAATGAAAATGTTATTCTTTTCCTTTTTTATCTTTTTTAGGATAACGGCGATGGATATAGAATTTTCGGTCTAATTTCAAGAGAATGCTAATTTAATTTACTGTAGCTGCATATTACTCTATGTCGGCAGAATTGCTGTCATTTGGAACTCTCCACGAACGAGGTCTTTCCTTGGATATCGTCACAGCGGCAATGCAGCTTTGAGTTGGCCGTTAATTAAGCCACTGCTAATTAGAAGGACTAGAGTTTGGTGAATAGCCCGAGAAGGGCAACAAATTTTATTGGTATATGTAGGCTGCTAAAGCTTCATTTGCCATATGTGTCTGAACAATATCTTAGTGAAAAATCTTGACTTCGAGCACAATAGTTTCAATAGTTTTCTTCCCTGAGCAAAACAGATCAGTGAAGACATCGTGGGGATCGGTATGCTAAACGGTGGATCTGAAGTCCTTCTGGGTGTTGCGTACATCCGCACAAGCTTAATGGACCCTTATACCACAAACGGTCTAAGTTGTAAAAATTAATGTTACACTTATGAACTTATATTGTTTTGACTTTGTAGGCTAAAGACTTCTTACAATTTCCAGGTCTTTTCATATCCGACAGTACCTGCGGCACAAGGTGTATATTAGGTAGTGTAGTAGTTTGCATTTAAGCTATAGGTTGCAATTTTTGGGATATTTTAATGAAATTTGGTGCAATGACCTAGGGCGAACGCTATTGCAAATGGTTCTGATCGGTTAACTTTTTCAACCACTCCCACCACTCACTTCGGTGTAGCATATTAAATAGGTGCGACTGTAATGTTCTTACTTGTTGCACACAAATAGTACAGCTTTTCGTAAAGTAAATGTTTGTAAAAAAAAAATTTCGGCCTTGTCTTCTTTCTGACAACTAGGAGAGTGTGGACAACAAGCACCACACAATTCAGAATTTCATGCTGATCAAGAATATATATATCTTATGGAATATCTGAAACTTTCTTTTGGGTGTTGCAAACATTATGACAACACGAGTACACCCCGCATCTTCCAATGGCAGATATAAAAATTAAGTTCGACTTATGGCGAATATCTGAAACCCGTATCGTATGATATCAATGAGTTTCAAAGTATATTACAAATTATGGGAGTTTCCATTAGCTATCCATTAATTTTAAACCTTGCCTTCTGAATGATAAAATTACTTACAGGTTCCAGTTAATCTATTGAAAATAATTACACAATCTTTCAGTTTTCTTGAATAATTTTTGCTACCGCAAGCATTTAAACATCAGACGGGACAAATTGACAGACATAAAAATTCTCGGATTCTCAAGTTAATCAAGGATATACATATATATATATATATATATATGTAAGGATAATATATATAATAAGGATAATATATATAATAGGAATAATATATATTATTATTATATATATAAATACGTGTTATATGTGTCTCCTTTAGGATGGTACAATCTAAAGTACTAATCTAAGATATTCCCATCTTTCGATTACAGGTAGAAAAGAAGCACATTGCTTAAAAAAAAACGCGTCCGGTAGATACGGATTTTGGATAAAAAACAATTGAACCAACAATTTGGGAATATATGGGAAATACCATTGAACCTCCTCTCTCCTCTCTCCTCTCTCCTCTCTCCTCTCTCCTCTCCTCCCTTCTCCCTCTATGGAGAATAAATAGTTTTTCCCTTATAAAAATTAATTTTTCATGAAAATTCCTACGTGATATAGAGGACAAAAAATAAACATACCTGGTCCATATTTAGTACCGTTAATTTTTACGCCAAATTATTCTTATGGACCAATTGCCAATTTAATACTAAAACATTAAACCTTTTTGTCGTAGAAAATAAGAAAAATTATGTAGAAAGAAGTTCCAAAAATTGCCGCCACCCGATTAAAATTTGCCGCAACAATTTAATGCACCGCCATACTATCATTCATAGACTTTTCTCGAAAATATATAAATTTGAAAATTTCTTTTTCCAGATGACAAGTTATAAAAGTAAGACTTTATATGCGGAATAATCGTGAAAATTTCCCGATTTGACCTCATTTTCCAAATACCATAAAATGTCAGTAGGAAAGAACGTCCAGAAGAAAGAAAACGAGACTCCGTAATTTATGCTGATAAACAAAAATTGATGAACATTATATATATATTTATGCCAACCCAGCTTCAAACTAACCGGTTTGTGTTTAACTGTACGCTTCTTCAGCATTTTTAATTTCTATACTAAAAGGGACACCGCGCCTTTGTAACCTATAATTTAAATTAAATATTATGCTATCATATATGTTTTTCATACCCTACACCACTTGCGGTGCGTAAGTTTGTGCGAAGGTACGTAACACCCAAAAGGGCTTAAGATAGACACAGCTTTTATTATACCGATCGCTTTCATATCCATCAACCCACAGGTCACAATTTTCGAGATATTTTGACAAAATTTGATAGAATGATGTGCTTCGACCTAAGGACGCACGCTATTAAAAATTACTCAAATCGATCCACTTTTCCAATCACTCTCCACATAACGTGTTACTTTTTATTAAAAAAAATTGCAATTTTGCGAAATTTTTGGACAAAGCTCGCCGAATAATAATACCTCGACGTATGGTTCGGCTTGGGCAATTTTTAAAACCCCATCAATATAACCGTTCCTACCGAAATTGATTCTTTCCGTAGTAAAAGTAGTTTTCAGTATGTCACAGTGTACAGTAAATTGGCAAAAAATTTGGGCCACGTAGGCCAATTTTTTGAATACCAGCACATATAAGGATTCTCAGGATATGTAAATTCTTATATACCAAGAAAACCTAATTGCTAATATTTTATGATGAAAATTTGTAATTTGAATCACATGGGTCCACATCTTGGACCACGCTCCACATTTAATTTCTCATGCGTTTTACGTAATTTAATGCTTTTAACTTGAATTTGCAAAATAAAGTTTTCCTGCCTTCATTCATCCGACAGTTAAACTCTCAAATATTCAAATTTAAATTGAAAGTTTCGATTCTGATGCGCATTCCTTTGATTAGTTTTTTTAGGGTAACATTTTAAAACGGATTAGATCCCTACGGAAATCTGTTTCAAAAGATAAAAAAATTACATTTTTCGAAAAACATATTTTAAATCAATTCGCTGAGCAGCTTATAACGTAAAATAGGCCTCGACCAGAAAGTTGAAATATTTTATATATGAAAGAAGCCTAAGAGATTTAATTTCGGCTTTATGACAACTTTGGTAATATATTAACTCACCCGAAGAACGTCACCCCAAGACGAATAAATTCTTTCTTGCATTTGGTTTCACTTCTAACACAAATTTATATTACTTAATAAAGGGCGCATTAATCTATCTTCCTTACCCAGTTCAATAACTATTCGTTGCGCTTTTAAATTTTTATTATTCACTTGAATTAAAAATTTTTAAAATTGTTCTTCTATATCCTTATGTTTTATCAAAAAAATGCTTATTATTAGTTTGGTGGCTGTAAGTGATCTGGATCTGGATTATGACCAAAAGGAAAATTACTATCCAGCAATCCATGCCCATTAGGTTGCGTAGGGATGCCATTATTGTCAGGAGATCCAGGAAGTTCTGGTTGAGCTGGGAAAGGAAACAAATTTCCACCGGGTTCTAAAGGATTTAAATCGCCGCGTCCAATATCAGCCGGAGCTGGTATCCCTGGGTTCGGCCTCTCCGGTCCATTTTGTCTAAATACAAATTAAATCCATGTTAAAAACAGTTTGTTATGTTGAAAACTGCAACTGTTTTAGATCAAATCATCCTACTCAAAATATTGTATGTATATGTCATATTACACCTATATACGACCTCAATACTTACAAATTATTATTAGAATTTTGCATCTTTGCCCTTGTGGATATTGTTTTTATGCATATAAAATTTTCATCAAATCCTATAGCATTTATTCTTCGGCTGCGTTATTAAAGAAAATTTTATAATCTGCGGAAAAATTTAGCCATGAATTGATTTTTGAAATTACAAAAAAAACAAATTTTCCAATTTCATAATGTAAGAGTTTTCAACAAAGTTTTTATATATTGCTGTATAGAAAACAAGCTTTACATTACTACAGCTTACTGTTTTATAAAAGGCAGTATCTACATAACTAGCATATCTATGCCAACTGATCAGATTGGAACATCTTTCGAAAAGGAAACAACATCTGGCGTTAATCACGTGGCATTTTTTCAAAATTATTTTTTCGATGCTTTATTGTTTGCTATGGTATTTGTTTAAGAAAACGTACATCTGGCAACATTGCCATGAGTCATAAACTAGTGTGAATGACAATAACAAATATGGCTAACATTTGAAAGCAATTAAGAAAAAAAGAACTACAATTAAGCCCATTGCAGACTATTAATCAAACTAAGAAAAAACTCTTCCATTTATCTTAGTGGTGAGTCATATTAATCGTAATTATTGAGCCTTGATGATATTTGGCAACTAAAAAAAAAAGGTACAATGACAGATCCGCGCTTAAGACAGTTGATTATTAAAACGGGTGTTGTTAAACGATTAACAAAGGAAAAGACCGTCTATGAGAGAGAAGTGGTGATTGAAAGGCAAAGACTGGACAAATTTAAAACTGAAGGAGCCGATGAACACGTTCTTAAAAAACAAGAAGAAGTAATAGAAGAGTGTCTTATGATGCTACCGGATGCGGTAAGAAGGTAAGCAAAACGAGCAGATGTTTATCATGGCTTGCTGCTATTTGTGTAATATTTTGTCCATATTAAAGATTGCAAAGAGAATATGCTTTATTACAAAAATTCCTCGAAGATGAGGTTGAATTAAAAGAAACGAAGGAATACGTAGTAGCAGAACAAGTTTTAGCTGCTGCAGAGGAAGTGATACCAAAAAACGTGAAATTCTGAATATACGGAATTAGTTCATTACTAATTCGCCAAAACATAATTCCATATTTCTTTATTAATTTATAATTTGAATTGCATACAAATGTCTTCGAAAATCGTAAACGTTTCTGAAGTGAAAAAAAAGCTTAAGAGTGTAATAGAAAATTTAAAGTATTTGGAAAGTAACAAAGAAGATGCGGAAAATTTTTTACCTATACAGCAAAAAATATTCTGCATGCTTAATGAAGTAGAAGCTCTTCCTTTGAAAGCTATTAAATCGCGAATAGAAAAACGAAAAAAAAGAAGACAGAAGATTAAATTAAAAAAAAAAAAAATTAAACTTATAAACATTGAATTAGCAAGAACTGCAAAACCAATAAGCAGCCATAATCAAGAAGCCACACTTAATAAAATAGAAAAGCATTTAACAACTAAAAGAAGCTATCAGCAATTAAAAACAATATATGAAGGCCAACGTTTCCTTAAAATTTTTAAGTTACTTGAAAATTTACACCTAAGTCGAGGGCAAAGTGCAGATGAAACTAAAAGATTTGCACAAAAATTTCAACGTTTAATAACTGTATGGAAGACTATTATTCTAGAGAAGCAAAATTGTAATGAAACCTTAGAAAATCAATGGAACACAGCACTATTTGGTAGTCCGTCATCTAACCACCACCACCTTGATCTGGAGAATTTCTTGCGCAGAAGGTAAAAGAGTCAGAATATCATTTATTAATTTATTAAAATTTTCTCTAAAAACATTTGTAGGACAATTTGGGATTCTTTTATATCATCTAAAGGTTCTTCCATACCGCCAGGTTGGATATTGCCACCACACCACGCAAATAACGAATGGTCTGCACATCTTTGCTCTTCATATCCTTAATATATTTATTTAGATTGAATATTTAACAAGAATAAATAATTTTAAATTTTTTTTAAAAGTTTTTTGGAGTATTTATTGATATAATGGAATTAACTTTTTGACCTTAGTAACTAAATGAAATGCCGCTATTATCCACTGAATCGACTAATTCATTTTATTCATAAACCCAGTCATTGGTCGCAGGTTTCCAGGCGACAAGCTCTTTTTCATCGAACCATAAAGCAATTTCCTTTTCTGCCGATTCAACGGCATCTGAGCCATGAATAATATTCCGGCCGACTTGAATGCAGAAATCTCCCCGTATTGTTCCAGGTAATGAATCAGCGGGATTAGTTTCACCGAGTATGCGACGACCAGTCTTAACTACATTTAATCCTTCCCATACCATGGGGACAACAGGGCCAGAGTTCATATAGTTCACTAGACCGGGGAAGAATGGACGAGAAGACAAATCGGCATAATGTTTCTCCAGCAAATCTTTGGAGGCCTGCAAATTAAATATATAGACACATGTAAATTCTCATTTTCAACATAACCTCAAATTCTTATAAGTTCATATCACATTTTCTAACACTAAGCACTCGTAACAATTTAATTTAATTATCATAAATCGAAACAAACTGCACATACCCACATAAATTTCATGGCTACCAATTTAAAGCCTTTCTGTTCGAAACGCTCAATAATTTTACCAACAAGCCCACGTTGAACTCCATCGGGCTTAATCATAATAAAAGTACGCTCCTTATTGCTGGCCATCGCGTTTGAAATACAAGAGAACAATGCCAAAATTATTCCGATCATGAGCAAAGTTTTCTTCTGTCGCCGCCGTTCGCTGCTTCTGCCATCAGTTAACGCTGACGTAATTGATGACGTTTCGCAGAAATTTCGCATATTTTTTTTAACTGAGGGTATATTTCTACGGTGACAGTTTGAGTAGGAAACCCTAAACATTTCCTTCTTCTGTAAAGAAGGTTCATAGCGTTAGAATAGAAAAGGCTCAGTGTGACCAGGCTGTCACTTAACAAAGTCAGCGATTCATAACAAATTTTTTGCTATTTGTTTGGGCTATGAGATAGCACTCGATTTTTTCTATTAACTTGTTGACGTTAATTCCTATTGGCTTTTTAGCGTGTCTTAGGCCTACTACGTCTTTGTTTTATGTATTTTGGAAGAAAATTGATCCATAAATCTAGAATTTTTCTCATTGCTTCTTACATATCTTTTCAAAACGAAAGTGATATACGAATTAATACTAACGTCAATTGTCTCTACTCTTGAAAAAAATAAATAAATAAAAGAATTAAATTTTCATGCTCTATAAAATGAAGTGAGGGCGACTGATTTTTTCTATTTTCAAAATAAATGTTTTTGTCACATAGCCGCGTGGGCGTTGTAGGCGTGTCCTTTGAAAAGTATAGGTCACTTCCGAATTTTTTTTCAAAAATTTTGCGAAGGGAAAATATTTCTCATAGATACTACAGAGTTAGACAGACGGACAAACGAACATGCTGGCCTAGAATTTATATACTTTAGGGGGCTTTTGAAACTTGTTTCTGCGCGTTATAAAGATGTTGAAAAAAAAATTAAATTTTTATGCACTATAATATTACGTAGGCAGGGCAATTTTTTTTCATTTTCATACAACTATTACACCATCGCCCATAGAATATGCGTTCAAATTTTTGCACATTTATTTGCTATAGTTTACGAGTAATGAACAGAAAACCAATTTTTCATTCTGTTTGAAAAACAAAGGGGTACTCAGCTTACGTTGTGCTGTGGGCGTGTCCTTCAATTGATTCGGCCAATTTCCAATATCAACCCGCGTACAAAAACTTATAATGTTTCTGTCCAATTCGACGTTGGTAAATCCTTTTTGGCGTCCAGGAGAATGTTTACAACAGATACAGCGCAGACGGACATACATACAAATGGGCATGGTTAAATCGATTTAGAATTTAATCAAGAATATATGTACTTTATGGCGTCTCTGATGCTTAGCTCTGGTCGTTGGGAACGTGTTGACAAAGTGAATGTACCCGTCAGCCTTCGATGACGGAGTACATCAAAGTTGAATGTCGCGTAGAATGAACAGGCTATTATAAAATCAAAAGTTTTCTAAATTTTTGATGCGATATGACATGTGTTTCATTTTGATCATTCTATATCTGCATTAGATAAAAAAATTTCAAAACTTTTTTTATTGTAAGAAAATGCGAGACCAACTCAATGGATAGTAAATACGAGGAAGCAAATATATGCTTATATGTAAAACAATAAAAGCAGTCGGTATAATGAAAGTTTTTAAATTAATTATATCGCACTTTTTAGATCTCATTCAATTGTTATTGCCGATTATAGGTAAGAACATTGAATGTCTGCAAAGAAGAAATTGCAATAATCCCCTTGAGATGCGGCCTTTACCGTAAATTTATATGAACCACTTCTACGAACATATGTAAAAATTAACACCAAATATTCAAATATATGCGAAAATCGAACGGCAGGTCTCTAAAAATGTACTAAAAGTAGTCAGAATGCTTTTAAGGGAAGATTTCTTGCGGGGAGAATTTTTTTGAGCTTTTCTTTATTTTCACCGAAATTCCTCCAGCTTTTGCTTAGAGCAAGTTGCAGCTTTTGTTTAAATACGCATCGTTTCTTGCACATGCAAATCGATGAAAAGAAGTTGAATGATTTTATTGAAGCTTTTTTTTAAGAAATAACTTTCTGTCAAAAAGCTCGAGAAGTGGTGGCGCATATCTTTATTATTAATTTATTAATAAATTTATAGATAATTTTTTTTAGTAATAGTTTAGTAATTTTAACAACTTTCTACTTGTTATATATATATCCACACCTTGTGGTACAAGGTACACTAAGTTAGTGCGGATATATGTGACGTACGGAAGGGTAACTGCATTATTATATTCACGTTGAATTATACATTTTATTTAGAAAACCCGATGGTTTTTGTATATTGATTATCAATATCTGCCGAACGATTCTGCTCTATCCGCTGTGTGAATGCAAAATTTTGAATACTATTTTTGTTCTTTAGCGACAAAAAGCTAATGATTTTTATTTATATTCACTAGGGCATCCGCATATTGAAATTCGGGACTATTCTCATATTCACACATATCTAAAGCGATTTCACAACTTTCCTTAACCACTCGCTTGTCATCGGACGCATAACGGTTTAAAATGTCTATGCATTCTTCAGTAGCGATAGCACCTAAGGCTTCGGCACATTCATGTCTAACCATTTCATTTTCTAAAGGATCTTCCAGATTTGTTTTTAAATACTTTATGCTGCAGGGATCCTGAAGTTGACCCAGAACGAAGGCTACCTCATGCCTGAATAAATAAAATTGAATATTTAATAATATTTAAAATTATATGAATATTATTGATTTACGACCTAAATAAGGCCGAACTATCTTTTAAGCCCTCTGCTAAGGCCAACACTGATTCCTTGGAGCGTTCATTACGTAAACTGAACATGGCACGATAACGATCGAATAAACTTCGCTTCGTATCTAAGTAGACCGATTTTAATTCCTCCAAGGATTTGTAGTTATCTATTGGTGGTGATGGATCTACAGAAGCATAGGGATTTTCATCATTTATTTGATGACCGCTTTGCAGCCATTTAACGCGATCTAAAGCAATTGAACATGTTTCGGCCACTTCCACTACAGGATCGCTTTTGTATTTTTCCAGAATTGGTATTACTTCTGACAAACCAATTGCACCTAACGCTTCAGCAGCTTCATGTCTTACCTTGTGGTACAAGGTAGATTAAGTTAGTGCGGATATATGTGACGTATGGAAGGGTAACTGCATTATTATATCCTCGTTGAATTATACATTTTATTTACCATTTTACTTACCATTGGCTCTTGAGTAACATCTTCTAAGACTTCAGTTAGTATACATAAAGCCCGTTTATCTTGCATTTGTCCCAAGCAATAAGCTAATTCATGTTTTAGGAGAGCTGAATCACCAGAAAACCCACGACTTATTTCGGCAATTGCATCTGCACCACCAATGTTTTTTAATGTAAACAAAGCGCGAAATCGTTCTTTAAGTGGACGACTTTTACTATTAAGCACACAGCCAATTGCTTTGATTTGTTCCTGAGTAACCATGGTGTTTATAAAATATTTAAAAAGAGTATTTATAAATATAACAAATTCGTTCTTTGATTAAAGAAAAATTACAAAAAGTGTTATTTCTAAGAATTGACAGTAATGCCAATGTATTGTAATAAATAAATTAAAACCGTTTATTATTCGTTAATTGCTCGCTTCTTCTGAACAGGCCTATGCGCTGTAAAAATAGCCACATAGAAATTCACACAGTATATTTTACTTGCTTTTCGCAGTATGAAACATATCTTCGGCACTTGACACTTAGTAAAATATTTTCAATTTGTTACATTCAACTGTCGTTTTAGCATCAAGTCCGGCAACATTGTATATTTGCATAAATTTATTTACTTAATTTACTTTATATCCAACAACTACATATTTGATCAGTTTCAGATGTAAAGACAATCCAACATCCGAAAAAAAGCAAGACGAAGACAATTTGTACCGCATTTAGAAAACTCACATTATTTGAAACCTCTCAAAATGAGTGCACCTTTTAACGCGGATGAAATGAGAACCATTGTCAACTCCATAATAACATATGTGTTAAATGGTGCCTCCACCAAGCTACCAATTAAAGAAAAGGATATTATGCAGACCATCGATAAAAAGGGTAAATTATTTAATGCAGCACTTCAGAGAGCCGGAGAGATTTTAAAGGAGGTAAGTTTTTACTTCATTGAGGAACCTTTATAAGATAATGTTACGAATATTTTTCTGTTACAGACTTATGGTATTCTAATGGTTGGTTGGCTATGCAAAAAAAGATTTTTAATATGTTTTAAACGTTTTTAATTTTTGGCTGCGTGTATACATTTTTAAAATATATTTTTATTTGTTTCTAATATAATTTTTCATTCGTTTCTAAAATATTTTTTTATGCAGGTCGCAGTACCGGAGAGCAAAGGTGCCAAGTCATACATATGTTTTAGCGAGGATTCTGGAAAATCGCTGCTAATGCATGACGAAAAACAAAAAAATCAATTAATTTTATTATTTATTATTTTATCATTCATATTTATGCGTACTACAACATCAATTCCAAGCATAAGTGAAGGTAAGCGTTCAGAATAATGTAGGGTATGACATGATTCCTTATAATCTTTACATAACAGCGTATTTGCAGAATTTCTTAAAAACTTTACATATTGATTTTGATGTCCCGCACGAATATTTTGGTAATAATATTCGAAAATTGATAACAGATACATTTGTGAAACAATTATATTTGAAACGTGAAAAAAGTAACTCAGATTTGGAAACGGAAATTAAGTATACAATAGACATTTGCGAAAGCTGATTTTATTTAAAAAGCGCTTGCTATATTTTAGGTATTGCTATTCTTGGGGATTTCGTGCCCATCAGGAATTTGACAAAAAATGTCTGCTGTTCGCTACAGCCCAGGTATAAATAGCCTTTGCACTTTTAATATCAGTTCTATTTTATTGACTTACTGCCTAGATTATGAAGAAGCCGGCAAAGGCTTTTGGTACTAAATACGATGAAGTGTGCAAGGATGAAGAAGACGCCGGCTAAATTTTTATGTTTTATAGTTTTAATTTGAATGAACAAAAGCAACGTACTTTATGTGCGAAAATGTATTAAGTATTTAGATAAGTCTTTGATGTGATGTTCTGCATTTTTCTCAATAAATGTGTATTCTATATAGAAAAATAATGTTGTTTATGTGTGTGCATATTTCGTCTTATGTTGAAGTTAGTAATAACTTTTGGTCTTCTTCTTTGGACGTACATTAATCTTTCCATTCTCTCTTACAGTACTATAGTTTTGCTGGTCATTCGACGGGCATGGTTTGCGATATTGTTTCTTATTAAAAACACTAAGTCTCTCCTAGTCTTAACTCTCTTGCAAAAACGCCATCGAACAGCTTATAATCCAATATATTTTGGTAAGAATTTTTTTATAATTGGGAAGCGCTCTACAAATAATTCTCATTCAAGTGCACATAAAATCAAAATTTTGATACATCCAAAATTCTTTCCGATGCCTCTTTAAATAGCATTATCTTCCAAAAAAAAATTTGTCGATATTTATGAAAGTTGTCAGAAGTTTTTTTAAATCTTTTCAAAAATTTTAAAACGATGTCTCTTGAAGAAGCTGTCTTTTTTGGAAAATCTTATGTCACAGTAATTTCGTTATAAGTTCAAAGCAATTTTTGTAATACTCATAATTGAACCTTTGGTACATATATATATATATATCGATAAAAAATCGGCTTAAAAATTATATGCTAGAAAGTGTGTAAATATTTTCGTTGTTTTTTTTTGGAAAATTGTTTAATAAAGTCCTTTTGAGTAGTTTAAAAGAAAATAAATAAATAAATGAAGTTTCGAAATATATCAATATTCTGCCAAAAATTCCAAAAACAATTTGGATTATGATGAAGTGCAATTTAATTTTATGCATTCTTGCGTAAGAACTTTGATTACCTCACTCATATTTTAATCGCTAAACAGATTTGTATAAATATTTGCATCATTGTTTTTCGCTTTTTCTGAAAGAAATTACATCTCTACTGCTGAACAATTATCACGGCGTTAGGCAACTCTGTTTCGTGTTTGTGTCGAAGTGTGACCAATTCGTGCGTGTACGAGTTGATGTAGTGGAATATTTTTATAAATTACGAATTTTTGATAGCTGAAATTGCTTTAAAAATATCTAAATTGGCGGACAAATTCGTTGCTATTCCAATAAAGTTTTTTGCATAAAATAATGTTTATAATTTGATCGTTAAAGGCGTTTAAAGAGGTTTTGAAATTTGCGCGTTAATAATAATTTCGTAAAAAAAAAAAGTGTTGCTGCGCTTATATTTGTGTATATGCAAGTGTGTAGAAATATAAGCAAAGCAACCTACGTGTGTTTTTATATTAGGCAAAGAGATTGCGGCTAATCACGATTGGAGGGATATAAAAAAAAGTTTTACATATATTTACAGCAATAAAGTTGAAAAAAATAATACGAAAATTGTGCGTTCAAACAGGAAAAAAAATCATTAGAAAATCATGTCGGAAATTAGTGAACAGAAAAATAGCGCGCCATCCAATGAAGCAGAACAGCCAGCAGAGGTAGCAGCAGAGAACATCGAAATGGTGGCCAATAATGTTAAAGCACCCAATGCCAGCAATGAAACATTATCATCTAAAGCGATAGAACAGTCATCGCCGAAAAATGAAAATAAAAAAACTCCCGTAAGTATATGATATTAAGCAAATAAGAGTTTTTTTCAAGTATGTATGTGTAAAAAGTATTCAATCATACATGCACATATATTCGCAAAAGCAAGCAAGTGCTTGTTCAATTAACAAGGCTGCGCGATAAAGCTCATGTACCTAAATCTCTAATAAGTGTTTAACTTTAGTTAATCGTCGATTTAACCGACTGCGATGATAAAAAAAAAGCTGTTGTGCTACTTCTTTTTTCTTTTTATAATTTCCCCTTTTGTAATAATAAAATAAGCTAAAAACAAGAAATACAATCGTATGCAGGTACACACATGACTACATACGCCAACAGCGTTGATATCGCTGCCTTCGATTTTCCCGCGTGTTTTATTGGAACAATCTGGAATGTCTACGCTGCTATGCTGCGATATATAAAGAAGAGTCTCTGCTACCAACATTGACTGATACAAAATATACGACAGAATCAAAGAACTTTTTTGAGCACATGTATATACACATACATGCATACAAGCACACAGTAAAAAAAACGAAACTAGAAAACAATTCATTCTACTCGTAAAAAATATACCCAATTTTTTTTTTTTTTTTGTGACAGCCTTGCCTGCTTTGATGTTTCTTTTAAATATATAGAGAAATTTTTGTACACCCGCGCTACAGTGCTTTTACATTATTACAGTACACTGTTTGTTGTTCACCTTCCTGTTGTTATTTGTGCATGGATGAGAGAGAGAGTGTGTGCGTATACCGAACGATCTAATGTAAGCGCATTGTGAATGCATATAGTTACGTTTGTATACGTTATCACATTTATTTTGTTTTTATTGTTCGCGTTGTTTACCCCCATTTTTGTGTTATTATTGTCGTCATGTTTGGTTTCTGTGTGTGTTTTGTGTATGCTGTACTTTGCGTTTTTCTTCTCCGTTAATTTACCGTTAGAGTTGCCACTGTTCGGTTTTTTGTTCCTTTAAATTAAAACGAGAAAAAATGCTTTAATTTTCCAATTAAATTGCTTTCTAATTCTCTTTAACTGGTCAACGGTTTAAAACATAAATGTTTGGAAAGGAAAATTTGTTGTAATTTATTTAACACATTTTCAAAAATTGTTTGTTCATTTTTTTTTGCCATTTTCTTTATTCGTATTAACATTTAGAGATATTAACTTATTTTATATTAACATATTAAGATAAATTACATACATATATAGATACATGTATTTGTATGTTGAAGTAACTCGTAGAACAACAATTTAATATAAATATTTTAATAAAATTTAAAACATTTATATTTTTCAAACACACGCACTCCACTTAAAGGGATGGAGAGAGACAGAACACACACTTTTAAGTGTTTTTTTTTAACTAAGCTAGTTGATGTTCGCGATAGCGCGCTAAATTATTATCTCATTTTTATTGTTAAGACCGTACATTTGTCTTTTTTGTTTTTGCCTAAATAATACTTTTTGCTTTTTCAACATTCAAAATTTATTTACTTGGAAACAGTGTTTAATCCTCAAGATTTCTGAAACCAGCTTGTAGATCTTCATGTAATTGCTCAAAATCACTTTTGATTTTTGCTTCACCATCTTTAACGGGGTCCTGTAAGCGATAAGATAATGGAATAAATGTACATTTTTTTAAAACTATTAAAGTAATCTCGCGCTGACCTTAAATTTCATTGATGACAATTGATATAAAATGTTGCCCATGGAATCTCGTATGATATTCCAAGTAATCTTATTATCCGATTGTGCAGTCGATTCGACAGCATGTCTGGCCAATTCATAGAAAGATATTATATTTCTTAACATGCCCACTGTTTTGTAAAAGGGACATACGCGATCGTAGGGGGAATACGAGTTTTGCTGTAAGAAATCATCTTTTAACAGCTTGGCCACTTCCAAAGTGATTTTATCAGTTTCTGCAAGTGAAGCTTTACCCACGAGTTGCACAATTTCCGAGAGATCTTCCTCTTCTTGTAGAATTTCCTTTACTTTAGTACGAAGTGGCACAAATTCGGGGAAGTTTTTGTCATAGTACTCATCCAAGGCGCGCATATATTTCGAATACGATATTAGCCAGTTAATGGAGGGAAAATGTTTGCGTTGAGCTAATTTCTTGTCCAAACCCCAAAATACTTGTACAATACCCAGAGTAGCAGAGGTCACGGGATCGGAAAAATCACCACCTGGAGGTGAAACAGCGCCCACAATTGAAACGGAACCCTCGCGTTCGGGATTGCCTAAGCATTTAACGCGTCCCGCGCGTTCATAGAAAGTTGCCAAACGGGCACCTAAGTAAGCTGGATAGCCAGAATCAGCTGGCATTTCAGCTAAACGACCAGATATTTCACGCAAAGCCTCTGCCCAACGTGATG